CACAGCCAGTGGGAGGAAGTCAGATCTCAACAAGTGATTGTTGGAAGAATAAGTGAGTGAAAGAACAAATGCATCGGAGTCAGCGCTATTCTCATTTTCTCTCTCTCTCTCTCTCTCTCTCTCTCTCTCTCGTGTGTGTGTGTGTGTGTACACGCATGTGTGCATATATATATTTATATGTGTGCGTTTATTTTTTAATGGTAACATCAGTTGAAATTCTGACCCAACCACAGTGATTTCTTTTAGGTCCCTAGACTTGGGACCCACACTTTTTGCTCTGTTGAGGTAGGAAGATGTCTAGATCTATTAGGACTCAAAATTCAACATCCAAGAGAATGGTCGAAGCTCAAAACACTAACCAGCTTCTCATATTAGCGAGGACTGAAATGGCAGCACCAAGATTGCACGTCCTCCACATGCTCTGGGCAGGCCGAGGTGGGTGCTGACCCAGGAAACGCTCTGACCCTCCAGGCCCAGCCTCATTCCTGGGCCCACCAAGGCAGCCCTGGTGATTGACAGGCATAGGGGGTGCCGCAGGTTGCCTTCACCTGCTGCAACTCCTTTTGTTTCCTGTGGGCCACTTTTCAAATGGAGTTTTCAACACCCAGGAAGCCTCCTCTTGGCTGGCAAGAATGCAAGGAGTTTGCATGTTTATTGCGTTTCCTCTCCTAAAAGCCCTGCCCTTTGGAGCTTCGCCCCTGTATTGCTGCCCAGGTCTTACACAAACCTGCCGTGTGCCAACGCCAAGTCACTCCCCCCCTGCTCCGCACACACACCTCTCAGCCCTGGCCCTGGTGTCCTCTTACCTGTGACCTCCACTTTATTTCCCATATTTATAACCACAGGTTCTTACAGAAATTTCCCCTGACTGCCAAGATTCATGCAACACTGCAGGGTAGATAACATGATAGTCTGAGGACATTGTCACAATGTGCTGCCAGAAATCTGCACCTGGAGGAAAGGGAAATCCTGAGAAATAGACTAATGTATCTTACAGGTAAATACAAGATATCTCAATGTGGCTTTTTTTATCAGCTAGAATTGAATGTGGCTAAATATGAGAGAAAGCCCCAATTAGCAGGGACTTAAGCACATAAGATTTTATTTTCTCAAATAAAAGAGCTGGGCCCCGGCCGGTGTGGCGCAGTGGTTGAGCCTTGACCCATGAACCAGGAGGTCATGGTTCAATTCCCGGTCAGGGCACATGCCTGGTTTGGGGGCTTGATCCCCAGTAGGGGGTGTGCAGGAGGCAGCCAGAGATCCATGTTCTCTCGTTGATGCTTCTATCTCTCTAGTCCTCTCCTTCCTGTCTCTCTAAAAAAAGCAATAAACACATAATTAAAAAGAAGAAAGAGGTGGGAAACAAGAAGTGGGGAAGCAAAGAGACCCGGTATTGTCAATTCTATTAAGCTCTTTCCAGCTCTTGCCTTTAAGGTCTAATATGGCTGCCAGAGCGCCAGCCATCATACTCATGTCCCAGGCAGCGACTGACTTCCAGAAGAGGCACACAATACTTTCACATACTGGGCATCTCATTGAGTAGATGTTTGGTATCCACATCCTATTACAATGGAGATCAGGAAATATAGTCTTTATTCTGAGAATCCAGAATGTAGAACTGTTTTATAAGACAATTAATTGGCCTTATCTCTTCAGAGATGACTGTCCTAGATTTTAAAAGACTAAAGAGACATATAGGTGAGCCTTGATTGACTACAGAAGATATTTTGAGGGCAATAGGGAAAATTAGAATATGGACTGAATGTTAGATGATATTAGAGAATCATGGTTAATTTTATTAGATGTAATCATAAATTATGTTTTCATAGGAGCATGTTTTTATTTTTAGAAGATGCAAGCTAAGAGTGAGGTGTCCTGAATCTCCCACTTCCTTCAAAATGTTTTGTCAAAATTCTGCATATAGCCAAGACCGGTTTGGCTCAGTGGATAGAGCGTCAGCCTGTGGACTGAAAGGTCCCAGGTTCTATTCCGGTCAAGGGCATGTACCTGGGTTGCGGGCACATCCCCAGTGGGAGATGTGCAGGAGGCAGCTGATCGATGTTTCTCTCTCATCGATGTTTCTAACTCTCTATCTCTCTCCCTTCCTCTCTGTAAAAAATCAATAAAATATATTTAAAAAATTTTTTTTAAAAATTCTGCATATAAATAGGTGAAGATATTTATGAAGAAAACACGGAAAAGATATTTTTATTAGCTAGATAGTAAGAATTACTCATAGTAAGATAGGTATAGTGGGTGGAAGGGATATGGATATTTATTATACTACCCTTTCAACTTTTCTCTATGTCTAAATTTCTTATAATAAAAAGTGGGGAGAGTAGTTTTCTGTTTGACTCGGCTGGTCCACAGTCTCGTGTGTGGTTGGCTGACTCCTGGTGAAAGGGAATGATGTTCCTCTCAGCACTCCGCAGCCAGTCAGCTCAAAGGGTCTGCAGGTGGTGGGGTGCGTCCCCCAGGCTTGGCCAGGGGGTCCTGGAGCTTGTGGAGATGGGGAGAGAGAAGACTGCATCTGGCCCTCAGCCTCTTGGAGGGTCTTCCCCATCACTCGGAAGACAGCACGGCATCAAGGATCCACACAGCCCTTCACCTATTTGAAATAACAACATGACAGAAGATTAAAGATGAATCCACGACAGGCCAATGCCTCAGTTACAGCCTCGTTAGGAACCCCTGTCCTCCCTCCCCCGTTTCTGCCCATATCATCTTGGAGCAGGCACTCAACTTCGGTTTCCTCATCTGTAAAATGGAGATTGTAATCATTGCCTCACCCACCTCCAGGGCTGTGTGAGGATCAAAGAAGTCGTGTGTGATTTGCTGTGAGCAAACAAATGTGCAAGATTATTAGGAAGATGACCTTGCTCGCCCCAGAACTACTTCATCCTGTTATGCTCTCATGCAGTTACCCACAGACACCAGGACCAAAGGACATTTTTCAAAATTCTGCTTGTGGTGGTTTGGAAATACCTCCACAAATTCTTTGACATTCCTCCCTTCAAAAATGGAACCTAATTCCCCTCCCCTTGAGGGTGGCCTGGACTAAGTGATTTACTTCTAACATAGGGTTGCCAGATAAAATACACGATGCCCAAATGAAATTTAAATTTCAGAAAAACAACAAATTTTCGTATAAGTATGCCCCAATTACTCTGTGGGATATACTTGTACTAAAGTGTATGCATTGTTTAACTGGAATTCAGATTAACTGGGCATCCCGTTGTTTTGTTTGCTTTACTAAAACTGGCAACTCTATTCCAGTGAATAGAAGAATGAATGTGGCATAAGTAACGATGTGTGACTTCCGAGCATAAACGGCATTGCAGCTTTCACCTCACTCCCTCTTAGATCACTCAGTCTGGGAGAAGCCGGATGCTGTGGTGTGAGGACACTCAGGCAGCCCATGGAGAGATCCACTGACACTTCGGCCAACAGCCAGCACCACCTCACGAGCCACGTAAGTGACCCATCTTGCTAATGATGGGCACTGGGCTAGCTATCTAAGTCACACCCTTGGTGACACCCCCACCCCCATCTTCAAAGTAGCAACACTTTCGTTCTTTCTCGTGTCTTCTGAGGTCTTCTTTCAAGGGCCCTTTATTAGATTAGACCCACACGGATAATCTCTTATCTTCAAGAGGGTTCCTGTCTTAAACCATTGGACAGCACAGTCCTGGGAGTGTAGGTCCCAGGGGATAGGGCAGGGCACCTGGGGACAGGAGGCATTTTAGAAGTTCTGCTCCCACAGGGCCTGGCATCAGATGGACGCAACTGTATCAGTGCCATGTCCCGACTTCGATGGTGGCATTGTGGTTGTGTAGCAGAAGGTACTTGTTTGCAAGGAACCCACAGGGACACATTCAGGATGGTGGGGCATCAGGTCAGCAATTTATTCTCAGGTGACTTAGTATTAAAAGTTCTTCACACTGTTCTTCTTGAAACATTTCTATATATGTACATGCATAGATTAAAAAGGTAGTAATGGATACGGATGTTATATATACAATGAAAAATGTTTAGAAATATCTAGAGATACAGAAGTTACCTCTGGGAAGTGGAATCATTTGAGGAGGGGGTGAAGAGGTAGACAGCTTTTACTTGGGGGCTGTATGATGTAAATTTATTAATGAATAGGTATTTTCATAATAAAATAAAAACCAGGAAAAAAATATTTGGAAGAAAAACAGCAGGAGACTGGCTGCCTGTTTCTTGGCAAAGAGTGAATGGGGAGGAGGCGGCCCGGGCTGAGGCCGAGATGGAAAGATGAGGCAACAGGACACATTATCGCTACTGCAGCTCCGTGCTTCTCCTCAGAACTACCGAGAATCAAACTTAAAATAGTCTGTCCTGGGGCGGAGGGAACAAAGGTGATTTTCTGTTGGCTGAGAAGGTGTGCCAGGCACCACAGCACTTCCCAGACGAGGCTCGCACTTCTCTTGCCCGTGTGCTTCCCAGTACTGAGAAGATCGGCGTTTCTCTTTGTATTTAGTTAACTACACCTCTTCAGTCTCTCGTCTCACATCTTATGTGCCTGATGGCACCGTCACATGACACGTGACTTCTTGTGATGGGTTGAGTTGTGTGTTCCCAAATCGATGTGTTGAAATCCTAACTCCCCGATACCGCAGAGTGTGCCCTTGCTTGGAGACAGGGTCATGAGCGAGGCAGTCAAGTTAAAATGAGGTCACTGGCGTGGGCCCCAGTCCAGAATGACTGGCGTCCTTGTAAGAAGTGATCAGGACACAGACACTCAGCGAGAAGAGGCTGTGAAGACACAGGGAGAGGACAGCTATCCACAAGCCCTGTTCTTACAACTTTTGTCTGAATTTGAAATGTTTTCAAAATTAAGTTAAAACTTAAATAAGAACAAAAACAGAACGTAAGCGTCAAGCTCTGGGAAACCCATTGCAGACCCAGATAGCAGAGGCCTGGAAGGACCTGCAGTGCCTGAAGCCGGTGGACCTTCCAGAAAGAGCTGGGATTTATCCAGGTTTTAAATTGCTTTATTTTTTTCCATGAGCCCTCCAGTCCCCAAATATCTCATGTCCTTGCAATATGAAAGGATCCTGGGATTTGAGTCTGGAAAAGGTCCCGGCTGCAGTTCCTCCTGGCAGGTGACTGCAGAAAGTTTTGTGTTGATTCTGGGACCCTCGCAAGTGGCTCTGATGGTCCGCCTGGCCTCACAGAAGGGGCTCCTGTGGTTTGCGGATGTGGCTTGAGACAGTCCTCCCTCTCTCGATCCAGCCACAGAGGTTCGCCTGACTTAGTGGGAAGAAGCGTCTAGACCGGGCTTCCCACCGACAGTGTCCTCACCTCCGATGGTCTGCTCCAATGGCGTCTGTGACGCTGGGAAAACCCTGCTCCCTGGAAAAAGAGAAAACAAAGCAAGTTCAGCAAATGATGAAGGACAGGCCCTGTTCTTACCAGACGCCCACATTCACCGGAGCTCCACCTGCTCCATAACTGCACCTCCCCCTCTCTCGATCCCAAACACAGACCTCATGCCCCTACACTGTCTTCACCGAGGAATCTAGATCTGAACACCCAGGTCTTAGACCAGAAGGCAGGTGATTTTAAGTATGAAAGCTCCCTGACATCAAGCCAATGACTGAATTAATGAGGAGAATGCCACCAGGACTCCGCAGGCCCATACACACCATTGCCTTGGGCGTTAATCTTGAATTCTTCAACACCGTTGGTCCTTCATCAAAGGAGCAACAGAGTAATTTCCCCTGCATTCGGAGTATACCCACCCCTCAGATCCTTTTTGCATGAAGAGTAAAGACAGATCAGTAAGACGCCCTTGATTCAAGTCATTCAGGATTGATACATTAACCTCAGTTTCAAGCCACACGTGGCCCCACTCACTTCAAAAGGGCCTCCAGCTCCCGCTTGACTCTGCCCACCACAGGCGGCCCCCAGTAGGTGAGGGCCGTGTACAGCTGCACCAGGCAGGCCCCCGCCTGGATCTTGTCCAGTGCGTCCTGCCCGCTGCTCACACCGCCAACCCCGATGATGGGAACTCTGCCTGTAGGGAAGCACAGGGCAACACCATGACGATGGGAACCAGGGGCTCAGCTGGGCTCCAGCCCTCGGCCCACCTGCTGACTGCAGCGGTTCAGGGAGCCCCGATTCTGATCACAGCCCCAGAGCCCGAGCCACACACAAATCCGAAGACGGGGACACGGAAGTCTTGCCTTGGGTGAGTGCGTACATCTCCCGGATGGTTTGCGTCGATAAGTCCCGGAGGGGCTTCCCACTCAGCCCTCCTGTTTCAGAGCGCAGGGCACCCTGGAGGCTGGCAGGGCGACTCACTGTGGTGTTCGTCACAATCAACCCATCGATGCCCAGCTGCGGTGTGAGACAGAGAGAGCTATACAGTCAGGGCTCTGTCAGACTCAGAGAAGCTGCCCCAGCGGCTGAGTCACAGGCAGCCAGGTGCCCACACCCACAGCCCCCGGAATCAAGGACTACCCCGGACTCACTATGCTCCTGAACAGGTGTCTACACAAGCCTCAACATGACAACAGCTGCCGTCACATAGCGACCACCTAGAAAGCTCCCCTGGGAGAGGGTTAGAATCCTTCTAACAACCCAAGGAGCAGCCCGGAGGGCCCAGAACTGCCCCTCTGACATTCCATGGATTTCTGTCTGTTCTCAGTTGTATCACATTTATGAGCCACTAGTCTACCAGTCTCCAGGGAGTAAGCGATGGAACCAAGATTTGAACCCAGGACTGCGGGGCTCAGTCTGTTTCCACTAATCTCCTTCAACACAGAGGCCTGGTGCTAGACTGGACACTTCGGAGATACCGCAGGTCCAGTTCCCGCCACCACAATAAGGCTAGTCTCGCAATACAGCGAGTTGTAATCCCTTTGCTGGTGGAGGGCCTGTGACGTGCAACAAAGCGAGGTATGCCTGTCCTCCACTCTGACCAAGGCTGGCCAAGGACACAAGCCTGAAGGCCCCAGCTGGATAAGGAGGAAAGAGGCACCGAAAAAGATTCATTCAAACATTTATTCAAGCATCTACTTTTTATCTTATGAATTAAGTCGTGACAAATACCAAACCAGCCCTCAGTATCACAGAGAGAAAACCACAGAGGCTGCGTCTGGGCAGCAGTGAGGGCCCTCACCTCTCTCACCACACTGGCGATGTCCTCCTTGTCCTGGGCCGTGAGGTCGGGTGCGATCTTCACCAGCAGGGCCGGTTTGTGCGCTCCCTTCAGGGCATCCCTCTCCTGCAGCACCTACAGCGACAAGTGGCCAGAGGTGGGGACCCCTGAGACCACAGCTGGGGGTGCGCTGTGACCTGCAGCGCAGACCAGTGTATTTTCACATCAGCTATCAAACTGAAGCATGAGCAATTTCTCCTCGGAAAACACAGCCCTCAGTTATGCACTATTCCCCATCCAGGCAAACCTCATTCCATTCTCTTGAACCAAGAAATCCCCAGGACTGAGTCACTAATGTGGTCATGGGCATTGGCTAATATATTGTGGCTTATTTAGACTTTTGTTCCTAAAAGACATAACAAGACTGTGTGATGAAAAGTCATTCAATTCATTCATTCATTCAGTGTCCTAGGTGCTAGGGACAGCATGGTAAATGAAATTTATGGTCCCTTCATTTTTTTTTTTTTATTTTTTTTTAAATATATTTTATTAATTTTTTACAGAGAGGAAGGGAGAAGGATAGAGAGTTAGAAACATCAGTGAGAGAGAGACATCGATGAGCTGCCTCCTGCACATCCCCTATTGGGGATGTGCCCGCAACCAAGGTACATGCCCTTGACCGGAATCGAACTGGGACCTTTCAGTCCGCAGGCCGACGCTCTATCCACTGAGCCAAACCGGTTAGAGCTAGTCCCTTCATTGTTGAACTTGAGGGACAGAAAACTTAGAAATTAACTACTACTGAGCATCATCAGTGTTATGGTGGGGGTGAGAGGCATAGTGAGGGGTCCTAACTGGTTGAAGTGTTAAGGACAGCCCTACATGGTGCCATGGAAGCTTGGTCCTGGAGAATGAACAGGACAGGCTGGAGGAACAGGCTTTGCAGGAAAGCATTACAGGATTTAATGTAATTTCCCACCTTGGTCAGCAGGTGGCGCAGCTCATCCTTTCCCTGAAGGCTCCGCAGCCCTGCTGTGTTGGGACTGGACACGTTCACTACCAGGTAGTCAGCCAAGGGGCCCAGGACTCGAACCCCCTCTGCGTAGTCCGAGGCAGCATCCACCGAGGTCTTATTCTTCCCCAGGTTTATTCCCAGTGGCAGCCCACCTGCAAATATCACTGGTCAAAATTTTGTCCCCACACACCATTTCCTTGACATGAACAGCCTATAGGCCCTCCCCCTGCAATGTGAACTTCGAACACCAGCTAACAAATGCTACACTATCCTGCTCGGTGCTACACCAGCTAACAAATGCTACACTATCCTGCTCGGTGCTGCTGCCTGCGACCAGGAAACAGCTCACCATCTTGTCTGCATCGTGCCCTTATTCTCCCCCCCCCCCTCATCTGAGGATATTTTTCCATTGCTTTTCAGAGAGTGGAAGGGAGGGAGGAGGGGGAGAGAGTTACAGAGAGTGGAAGGGAGGGAGGAGGGGGAGAGAGATAGGGAGAGAGAGAGAGAGAAACATCCATGTGAGAGAGGAGACACATCAATTGGTTGCTTCCCATACATGCCCTGCAAACCCGCAACCCAGGTTGGCCCTTGACCGAGAATCAAACTCGGGACCCTTTAGTGCAGGCTGACGCTCTAACCATTGAGTAACACTGGCCAGAGCATACCCTTGTTTTAAAAATTTTGATGAAAAATGGAGAAATTCAGAATGCAAATACTGGTGACAAAAAAGGTAGGGCTCATAAATGTAATACAACCGAGAACAGACAGAAATCAATAGGAATGTCAGGAGGGGCAATTCTTGACTCTCAAGGGCTGCTCACTGGACTTGGTTTGAATGACTGCGTGTGCAGTTGTGAAGAAAACCCAAAATTAAAGACTATGTATAAAATATTGGGAAATATTATTTTCAATTATCATGTAGACGTATCACTGGTTTATTTCAGTTTTCTGAGAAGGGCCTCCCTCTATAACTAGGGTGATCACACAGCCCAGTGCTCCCAGGATGGCCCTGATTAGTCCTGTAGCCTGGGCATATTATTAATTCACTCTCAAAAGTGTCTCAATTTGAACAGTAATACAGCCACCTTACTGAAAAATCCATTGGATTATCACGTCTTGCATTTTGGACTTTCCAAAAAACACATTTCAGTAACAGGCTTTGTGTGAAAGCAAGGCGTTTTCTCCTAAAACACCATCTTATCTGCAAAGGTTAATGGTACGTCAGTGGTACCAGCTGCTTTTCCATCTGACGGTTGGGAACAAGACCTGAGACATCAAGTTAGCGCAGAAAACTTGTGTCAGGTCAAGGAGGATCAAAGAACAACATCCAGTCCTACTGAGTCCCTTCCCATACCCTACAGTATCACCCTGTTATCAGCTTGCAAGTAAATGACATTTGTGTAGCTAATTGTGTGTGTGGTGCAGGGGCAGGGGGGTGGTGCAGTTAGAACCCAGTGGACAAAGGTTATACAACATGATGTCCTAGCTTTCCAAGTCTGGCCTCCATCCAGCCAAGGGCATTTGTAAGTTCTCATTCTTTTTCCACACAAAGAAACTGGCCTGAAAGCAGTATCGCTTCCACGTAGCTAACGGATCTTTCATTACTAGTCATCTCCCCACACTGACAAATCGCTGAATTACTGTATCCCCCAGGGGCACCACAGCCTTTGTCAGCTCCTGTTCCTTGGCCTGGCACCAGCAATAAGCCGTCCTCAGGCTTCTAGCTGCTGGGAAAATCTGTGTGCATAGCTCTGCTATGGGATTTTGCTTCACTCCAGAGACTATTAGCACCAGAGCGCGGGTGAGAGGATGGGCAAGGGAGAACGGGGAGACAGCTGGTATGAAGAGCGCTGTGGACAGCCAAAAGGAAAGGGAGGCAGGAGAGTATCACAAACCATGAAAGTCATACTATGACCTTCAAAGTTCCCCAAACAGCAAGGTGTGTAGCATAGCAGGCTCTGGTTCTGCCAAAGCCACCGATTTCCAAACAAGGGCACTTCCTACTCCCCACACCAGAGACTGCTGACAGCCTCGGCCCTTTCAACCTCGCTCACCACCAGGATTTCTAATCAGACTAAACCCTCTTGGAAGGAGGCCTGTAGTGACCCAACGAGGGGAGAGGCCGCAGCCCCAGACAATCCCCGAGAGCGCGTGGGGAGGTGGGGAGGACAACAGCACTGCGAACACCAAGTGCATTCTGAGGGCCAGCGAAGCTGGAACGCATGGTGGTCCAAACTCCCACATGCCAAGAGTCGTTACCCTGAGTGGAGGAGGATGTCAGAAATTTAATTGTCTTCTCCATGCTTCCCTGTGGTTAGCAACGCTCTGTAAATCCACTATATAAGGGCCACAGGACAGCAGAGCAGGACACGGAAGTTGGTGCAGGAGCCCGCCCACAGCTTAGCTGCCTCTGAGATCACACAGGCGCCACGCCGCTTTGCTCACTTCCAGGCCGGCCCGGTGAAGATATGACATGGCTTCCGTAACTTGGCTACATTCTGAAATTCTGTTAAAATCTTGGAAACTGTGGAACCAGGAAACCAGGAAAATTCCTCTAGGAAAGAGCCCTGAGTGCTGCAGTGTTTTTTTCAATTGCTCAATCCCGGTTATGTCACCAGGAATGTCCCTGATGTTTCTCCCACAGGTTTCCTTCCAACAAATGAAGGAAGCCCCTCTCAGGCAGCCCCACTTTACCTTCTGTGAGTCTGGCCTGCGTCTGCTGTCTGGCCCGTAACCTGTGTTCCACCACCGAGAACCCGTGACTGTTAAATCCGTATCTGTAACACACGCGGGGGGGGGATGGACAAGGTGAGAGCCCTCAGCCAGAAGGCAGACTGCAGACATGGCTCCATGGCCGTACGTGTGACTTTCAAAGACAGAAAAGAAAAGGAAAATGAGTCCGTTCTTAAGACTTCCAAGGTCTAAATGCCCCTGGACTTCCTAGAAGAAAGTCCCCACTCCTTACCTATGCACCCCTCCACCCAGTGGAGCTGTCACCACTCTGACAACCCCTTCTTCCCACCTCCTACCTGTGCTCCATGCATGCACCTGCTGGGACCCATCCTGCCACTCCATCTCCCCAGCCCGTCTGCCTATTAAAACCGTCCCCTCTTCGTGGCCCAGATCAAAAGCTCCCCAGCCTCAATTGATTCCTCGCCTCTTGGCACTCACTGAGCGCTCTGTACTGGTCTTTTCCTGGCGTGAGATGTATGCATATGCATGCTTAAGTTCCCCTCCGGATCATCAACCTCTTGAGGACAGGGACATGTCCTCATCACCCGCCACTAGACAGTCCACAAAGGCAGTGACTTCATCTCTCGCTCATCTCTGTCTCCCCAGCCCCACTGAGGGATGTTGCTCTGATGGCCACCCTCTCCCTTCCTCCCCTGAGACTGGGTGAAAATGGCAATGACTCCTTTCCCAGACCACTAGCAGTTGAAGCATAAACAAGTGACTGGGCGTGGTCACTGAGACACAAGGGCAGACTTTGGGGAGCTCCTAGGATGCCCCCATATCTACGCTTCCTTTTCCCTGTCTGCTCTCGGATGTCCACATGGGAGGACGTGATGCTTGCAGCTGGGGTACCTGTCTTACAAACAAGGGAAGGCCCGGAGAAGCTGGACCAGAGTCTGACATTGCCCAGCTGCTCAACCATCCCTGGAAGTGCCCACTACACCTGTTATGAGAGGAACATAATAGCAAGCGCCTATAGTTTTTTGTTTGTTTTTTATGTGCTTCAGGCATGAAACAGCTCTGGCCACCAACACGGGCATCAAGCTAGGATGAACCAAGGGCTGTCCATCTGCTTTGCCCCTGATTGATATAAGAGCAACACCACCAGTCGGGTGTCTCCTTGCCCAGTGCCGGGGGACAAGCGCCTATTGTTTAAGCTACTTGGTTACTTGCAGCGGAAAACACCGAACAGACACGGTGGCAGGTGCACTGGTTGACTGATGAATAAACTTATCCGTTCATTCAGCAAGAGTTTACTGAGCACCCACTGTGTGCCACGCAGAGCAAGGAGCTGAACCCACCGTGCTCCAGGGCACAGCTCTCCTCTCGGCCACGTCTCCTCTAAGGGTTCCACGAGCACTGGCACCCTGCTACCTGCAGCGACTTGGACGTGCTGGAGATATCGACCCCAGCCTGCAATGCCGCAGGAAGATCAATAATCTGATCTCTGGTGCTGGAAAATTTCCCTGAAGCAAGCACAATAAAGTGGGAAGTGGCAGCTGCGTCCACTCCCCATAGGTCGTCTTCCAGAGGCCAGTGGCCCCTCGGAGGCTCTTCAAAATTCTGTTACCAAAAAGTAGGAACGTCTTCGCTTTCTGGGCTTGCTGTCAGAAACTGCGCAGGGATTATAAAGAGGACTTACACACTCTAGAAGGATCTCTCTTACTAAAAGCAGCTGTGTATGTTGATTATTAAAATTTCCAGTTTACTAAAGTTGGGGCTGGGCTGTCCAACACAAGAGCCATAGCTACACATGCCACTGAGCACTTGAAACATGAAGAAAAACACACACTGATCTGGAAGACTTGGTACAAGGAAAAGTGGGTCAGTAGCTTCTTAATCATTTGTATGTTGATTATATGATAAAATGATATTTAGAATATATTAAGTACTTAATTAAATAACAATATATATTACAAAAACCTAAATAGAATATATTACTGAGATTCATTTCACCTATTTCTTTTTACTACTTTATCATAGCTAAAATAAATAGCTATTTTATCATAGACTATTTTATGTTACCTATGGGGTTTGCATTATATTTCCACTAGACAGCGCTGGGCAAGGGCAATGGAGTAACAATGTGGAAAAAGCATAAAGTCGACAGTCAAATAAGCCTAATTCTGTACTCAAGCTCTCCTGCTTGTGACCTTGTGGCTGTAGCTAAGTTGTGTTGTTCTCTGAGCCTCAGTGTGTATATGTGCTAAACTGAAACCCCAAAACCTGCTCCTACGCCTGGCACATAGTAGGTGCTCCACCTGGTTCCTGACAATGACAGAAAAATGCCTGCATCACAGACAGAAAGAACACCCCGAGGTCCCTGCCGGGAGGAGGCGGCCCTGTTACCCCTGAGCTGCTCACCTACCTGTTAATGACAGCTTGGTCCTCGGGGAGGCGGAAGACTCGGGGCCTGGGGTTTCCTTCCTGAGGTTTTGGGGTGACGCTGCCTATCTCAACAAAACCAAAGCCCATCTTGTACAGTCCGTCCACAGCCTCCCCATGCTTGTCAAATCCTGCGGCAATTCCTACTGGATTTCGGAATTTATGGCCCAGGACTCGCACTTCCTAGGGAGAGGGAGACAAAGTCAGGTACACAGGCTAGACCAGTGTTTCTCAGGGTGTGGCCTGGCACGCCTCCATCCGATTTCCCTGGGGGGCTTGTTAAACAGCCTATCTTCAGTCTAAGGCAGTGGTTCTCAACCTGTGGGTCACGACCCCTTTGGGGGTCGAACGACCCTTTCACAGGGGTCACTTAAATATATCCTGCATATCAGATATTTACATTACGATTCATAACAGTAGCAAAATTACAGTTATGAAGTAGCAACGAAAATAATTTTATGGTTGGAGGTCACCACAACATGAGGAACTGTATTAAAGGGTCGCGGCATTAGGAAGGTTGAGAACCACTGGTCTAAGGAATCAGATTCCTTGGGGGCCAGCGGGGCAGAATGGAGCTCTGAGCGAGTCTATTTCTAACTGCTCTCCGGGCGATTCTGACGCCTGCTGGAGTTCAAGACCACTAGGCGTTATCATCCACCAGCAAGAGTGAGGAGAAAAACAGGGTTTCCACCTCGGTGCAGCAGGATGAGGACACTGTCTCTTCTAGTGGCAGGTAATCGTCATCCCTTCTTATCCGCTGTCCTTGGTGGGAGAGAGTGGCTTGTTGGTGTCAGCCCCCTATTTAGTGCTATTTGAAACAGTGTCAAGCAGCAAAACCCTTGGATCAGCCTAGAATGTCAGCCCCAGCTGCGTCCCTCTCAGCCAGGCAGACTCCAAGACCCCTGTGGGGCACCAGACGCCTTCACCACCTCCTAAATAATGAGTTGCTGAAGGGGGGACCCACACAGCGGTGTTGGGGACCGAAGCTCAAAGGCCACACTTCTCTCCATATTGTTTCCCTAGCTTGGTACCTCACCCAGCCGTAACCTCACTGCCTTCCAGGACTCTCAGCTGGCCATGGGGATGAGGAAAAGAGCGCTCTGATCCCACAGTGCCTTTCAGTGTGGGGAGCTGGGTAAACACGTCTGCTCAACACTGCAGGACGGGGAAGTGACAGGGACCCTGAGACCAAAAGGGAAGATGCAGACAACGGCCGCTTTGATTTACGACAGCGACCCTTCCCCGAAGAGTGCTTCTTGTCTGTCGTCTTCATGTTCACGTCATTCTGATGTCCCCCATTAGGTAAGAAGTCTCTCGGATGGAAACTGCCAGGGCTTACACGAGGACACAGATGCTAGCAGGCGCTGATTCTTCTGTTTGTTTAGCTGCAGGAACCCCGGCACCCAGAGCAGTAACAGGCACACGTGGGCCCTGTGCTAACACAGGAGTGAATAACCCTGGGACAGATGTCTGTGTGCCTTCCTGGAAGGCTTGGCTACACATGCCTGGGTCACAGGAGGCGTTTAATGACTGGCATGTTTCCATATTTCGCATTGGTGAAGACTGAGCCACCTGACCTCAGCAAGGCAGGCCAGTGGCTACGGGGACTCCAAGGGTCTGAATCCTGGCTCATCTACTCCCCAGCTGTGTGTCTTCGGATAATTCACTTAACTCCTCCGTGCCTCAGTTTCCTATCTGTAGATGGGGATGACAGCTTTTTCAATTGGGGCTAACTTGGGATTCTGCTTTTCAGAAGGCTCAGCCCCCACTGTGTAAATCAGGGGATGCTGACCTTGTATTGCACAAGGTGTCCCAAGAGGACCTACCAGCATGTCGGAGTCTTGAAATGTGACACGAGGAAGGAGCCCCAGGGCTGTGACACGAACAGCCAGCCTGTGGGCTGACTCGGGGTCCAGCAGCCCCTGCAGAGTCGGCATCAAGTGTTCAGCGTAGAAATGCTCATCCCCCGTGGCCGTCAGGTAAGAGGCGAAGAGCAGTCCTCCACCCCCCAGGATGATCAAGGCATCCTGGGCCCGCCTCTGGGGGGAGAAAAAAAGCCCATTGGCCCTCAGAGCCAGGCTGCAGCACCTTCTCTGAGCCCTTTAAACCCCCCCGCACACAGAGGACACAATGACATGCGACATGGAGCAATGCCCCTAGCTCTCTGCCAGCACAGGTCTCCCTCCTTTCCCAATAAACACAAAACCATCTCTCGTACTGTCATACGCATTGGCTTTTCCAGGAATACAATGACCTTGTAAATGGAGGGCCTGTGCTAGTTTGCACAGAACATTACCAAGAAGTGTTCCCTATTTCAGAAAATCCATCAGGAATGGTAAGGTGCTTTGCTTGGGGTGTGTGACAAACATACCTGTGGCACTGGAATTTCTAAGCAGAGGCTGAAACACTTGACTATTTCACTATCTAGGTGTTGTGCCCTACCATTTACACATTGAAATGCATATTATTTTAAATTACTTTCATTTCTCCTTTATATTCTAATTAGGACATTAGAATGACTTTTAAAATCACACACAGGTAGATTACATTATATATAAACTCCATCTAAGAATAATAAAGGGAGTTGCAATTTTTTTTTAAAGGAGCACCAGGTATTATTAGGTCAAGAACCACTCTCCCAGAGGAGGGGTCAATGGGGGAAAAGGGGGACATGTGTAATATTTCAACAATAAAGATAAATTTAAAAAAACACCATTCTCCTAGTTCAACCATGGTTCATAATACTTTTCTCTAATTATCACTACCAGATGCTGGGTCATTCATTCGTTAATTCAGTCATTCATAGATGGGCTAATCAGTGAAGTCCTTGCCTTGTGGGGAATACAATCTCATGAGGAGACGGAAATCAATGATCATGTAAATATATAACTACAACTGCTATGAAGAAGAAAGTATAGGGTAAGAAGAACCGAGCCTAACCTCAGAGGTAGAGGAAGGCTTCCTTGAGGAAGTGCCACTAATATTCCAGGGATCAGCGGGAGTTAACCAGGAGGCAGTGGGGGAGGGAAAGCGAAAGGGTCTCCCCTGGCAGAGGGGAGTGGGGGGAGGGGAGAGGTTCGTCTGGAACCGAGGAGTTAAAGTATGGCTCAAAGAGAAGCTGGCAAAACAGGCAGAGATCTTGGCCAGAATAAAGATCTGGGTTTTGTTCAAAGGTCACATTTGCCTTTAAGGATCACTCCTAGCTGTTCATCTAGATCCAGTATTCGCGGGCTTACTTCTGGTCTCCAGGCTGTGGGAACGCCCCTGAATGTCAATCAACAAATACCAGCACCGTTACACGGGGCCCCCGCCCTACATTCTGTCCAGACGGGTTGGGAGCAGGTCTTGTGACTTCCCTGCACGTTGGAAGCTGCACGCAGTGCTGGGCCCTCATGTAGTCACTGGCCCACGCGCGCTGACAAAGTCTGGCGTCTACGCGGACACACACGTGCCGTTTACACACAGACCAAGTACATGTGTACAAATGCACACGCACGACCCTTTGCAGAGACACCCAGACGGGCCGACGCTCTCGGAGCGGCCTCCCGTCCACACCTCGCCCCGGCTCCCCCTGCATTCCCCGCCAGCCCTGCCCTCGCCGACTCTTCCTCGCCCTCGCCACAGACCCAGTTTCCACACTCACTTTCAGCTGTGTCCACGCCATGGTCCTCTCGCCCCTGGGCCCGCCTCTGCCTCATTTCCATTGGAGGAGGTGGAGGGACACCGCTCATCTCCGCCCCCGGAGCTGCCAATTCACCAATTGCCGGGCAGAGGGGTGGAGCCGGCGCCTCTGGGCAGGGGGAGGCCGCGCTCCGCCCTCAGGCTCTGGTTGGACACTGACAAGCGCGCGCGCGCGGGCGCAATCGCAGCGGCCACGCCTTTTCCGCCTGCTCGCCCGCCCGACTTCCGGCGTCCGCTCCGGGCGCGTAGGAGGTCCCTGTGCCCTGAGGTGGACCGCTGAGCTGAGTTCGTCTGTGGTTCTGCAACCTGGACAGAAAGTACTTACATGTTGATTCTTCGGTTCTTAGCGACCCAGTCACCAATTTCTTGACCTTTTCAGTTGAAGGCTGTAGTATTGGCATGCCTGTGCTCTAGATAAAGCATGTACTGAGAAAGCATCAGGCGCTGTAAAAGGGGTCGACATGAATTGCGTCACTAGGTGAAATACCCGTGTAGACTTCAAAGAAGATGCCAGCAACTTCAGGTTTCACTGAAACATGCCTAAAACGAATGTATGTTTGTGTACATGTCCGTATGTTTATGAGGACGTTGGAAAATCAAGACCGTGGGTGACTTTATGGTTGGAAGTATCCTGCCCCGGAACCATTTCACTGCAGCACAGGCTTGGCGGACTCCTCCGCTCAGAAACCTTCCTCGCGCTTGAATCCTCTCAGTCTTGTCATTTCAGTTCTCACTACTCTCTCCCAAGGACACCCACAAGGACCCGCACAGAGGAGTATTTCTCTATAAATTCCTTCCACTTTCCCACTTCTGTGCGTTTACTCATATTGGCTCCAACGCCAAGATGCCCATGCCATCTAAAGAAGACCATCCTATGTGTTCAAGTGCCGGAAATGGTTCCCTCGGCCAAACCTTCATAGGTTGAAGCTGTACCTCTCTAGTAGCACTTTAATTATTAACTAAACTTATATTTTTATTAAATGCAATTATGCCTTTCCTAATTAGACTGTAGACTTTTGAATGTAGGAACTAGACCGTATTAACCTTTCACTTGGTTAATGTAGTATTTTTTAAACAGGGATTTATTGGGGTCTGCACTTCAGAGAATTTTTAATTTTGGTACCACGTTCATTTTGGTTTTAAAGAGTAATTGTAAGTATCAGTAGGATAAACAGCTGAACCCTGAAACCTGCCAAGTGATTCCAGTGCCCACATTTATTTGTGTTTATCTCCCATTTTGGCATCAAGAAAAAGAACTGGTTAAGAACATAACTGATAGATGTGCTGCAGGTGAGGATCGAGTGGCATGTATGAACAGAGGTTTTTCAGCAAGTTAAAGAAAAGCAACGAGAGAATTGATTCTTCCCTACTGCGTGACCAAGTCAAAAGGACCTGTGTGGCTGTAGGCCAGAACCATATGTATTTAACAAGTGGCTATTTAGTTCAGCAAATTTTAATTTCACTGGTTTTAAATACAGTTGTGTTTGTATTTAATCTGTATTCATTCCTTCATTAAATATTTATTCTTTGGTTTTTATGAATATAAGATTTGGGGTATAGTTAAATAAGAGATTTAGGATAGAGTGAATGTATTTAAGAAACAATACAACAATTTAAATTCATAGCTTTCTTTTTTTAAACAAAATAATACATTACTCAATTTTTAACAACACTGACTTAGATATTCATCATTCTCTACTTCCTTACAGCTTAGATTTAGCAAATAAAGATCTATTATAAAGCTGAAGGCATATCCAGTTGTGTAAACACAGATGGTAGTGCCCCAGCTATAAAGGCCCATTGCTTTCTTAATCTATGTTTGTTTTCAGCTTATAAGAAATCCACCTGGTCCCTAAAATAAAACAAAACCTTTTTTCTCCTTGACAAATTATTCCCAATTCCTAAGAGAATAATAGTAATGAACAAGACAAACTCACCAAGAATATAAAGGGCCAGGCAGCGTCTGAGCCTCCACACTTTTGGGGCTCACAATTCACAGAGAAAATGTTATTCCAGAGAAGAGCCTGGCTTTGGTTATACCTCAGCACAGGCTTCATTCTAGGAAGCGAGCTGAGCAGCCCAGAGCTCCGTGGTAAAAGTTACTGTTATCAGCTTCACAGGTTTCACTGCAGCTTTAAGGAAGCAGAAAATTACTGCCATGCCCAGGGAGGACACCTTGCTTACACTTGGAACCAGGAGGTTCAAGATCTCATCTGGGACTTTCTGGAAGAAGGAAAGAAGTGGTGGATTGGGCAAAATTTAATGCTGCTGGGGAAAGATCAAGAAAACAACAACCCAAGTAAGGCTCTGAGGTTTGATGTTTATGAGGGAAACTTCCTTAGTTTTATTCAGGAACAGGAGAAAGAAAACATTTAAATCTTCCCGCTTTTGTATACAGAAAAATCAGTCATTTTACTCAGTACCATCATTCCTCTGTAATATTTCTGCTCTTCTGCTGCAGCCTTGGATTTGTCTGTGTAGCAAAGATGATGCGATTTTCTCAGAGCCTATCAAAACTTAACTTACCTAATAGTTCACTGAAAATACTGTGCAAGATTCTGAAGTGGGAAACCTTTTATGGGCACTTTGTAAATAGCTCTTCATCATTCTTAGCTCCAAGTTTTCTAATGCAGAAACTAGGAGAGAAATTGTTCATCTGTTGTCTTTCTTAGATAGATATTTTCAAAATTATGTACCATAATCTTGGGGTCTTAGAGAAAACTCCAAGGCATTTGTGTCCTTAGTATCTTCATTAAAGTCTAAATAAATTAATGCCTAGCTTTGTGACAAAGAACACATAATATGAAAAAATAATCTATAATATATGTGGTGAGGGAACCTAACTTTTCATCTATTGAAAGGTAGCAAAATTTGGTTTTCATATATATTTTTTTTCTAATCCTCACTAGAGGATATGCTTTTACTGATTTTAGAAAGGAGAGAGAGAGAGAGAGAGAGAGAGAGAGAGAGAAGCATGGATCAGTTGCCTCCCTAGGGGATTGAACTCATAACCTAGGTAAGTACCCTGGCTGGGAATTGAACCAGCAACCAAGTCACACCAGCTAAAGCTATATTTATTTTTTAAAATGTTTGACTTTTTATTAACCAGTGTCATCCCAATAAATTCAGTAAACATATTTTTTAAATGTTTGACCTTTGTATGAAGCTCATCTGGGTCTGGTCTTCCTTCTGCAGATGTCACAGCCCGCCGAGCTACCAAGCCCACCAGCTGCACTTACGTGTCCAGAAAGTCCAACCGGGTCTCATCAAAAGTAGACTTGTGCTCCCTGGGGCATTATTTCATTTGCCAGGCTGGTAAGTGATGAAGCTGCCTGCTGCCAAAGACCTACCTTTATTATTATTTTTTAAATGGACTTTTATTGATTTCAGAGAGGAAGGGAGAGAGAGATAGAAACATCAGTGATGAGAGAGAATCATTGATCAGTTGCTTCCTGCATACCCCCTACTGGGGATCACGCCCACAACCAGGGCATGTGCCCTGACCGGGAATCGAACCGTGACCTCCTTGCTCATAGGTCGACGCTCAACCACTGAGCCACACCAGCTGGGCCAAAGACCTAACTTTACTAGAAGAAACTGATTGTAAATAAGGAGAGTTTGTGAGAGCATTAGTTAGCAAGTCCCTGAGTGATAGGCCTTAGGAGGGATATAAGGGTCTTGATTTTCATGGTTTTGGCTAGGGTGAGAAACTGTTCATTTGGAGTGACTTCCTTACCCATCCTACTCTGGTAGTAGAAAAGAGCTGTGCCTTGATGTTCCCTTCATGGCTGGACTTGGGCAGAGTGTGAGAGAAAGTGTACTTCTAGTATTGGTAAGCCCCATTTTCCACATGTGAACCCCTAATCCATTCAGTATTTGGGCTTTAGAGGGTAGAATAGGAACCAAAGGAGGAAAAGAGAATATGGTGAAGGAAAATGAGAAGAAGAGGGGTGAGGAGATTTTCATCAGTTAGAGGTTTGTTTTCTCAGAAGTAGATCAGAATTAAGGTGTGTGGTTACATAAAGCAGTTATTCTTAGCTCAGTGAACTCTCGGAGACTTTATGATGTCCTGGATTGTCTAGGTAAAAATTTGTTTCACTTTTTTAAAATTAAATCTTTATTGTTGAAAGTATTGCATATGTCCCCTCCCCCCATTGACCCTTTCTAGCCCGCCTCCATCCTCGTTTCACTCTTTTAAAAAATCACAAATATATTCTTTCGAAAATACAAAGCACATACAGGTACTTCATTAAACACAATACATTGCAGTATTTCTTTATTACAAGATATATTTATCTATTACAGTATTCCTCAAATACTGGGTATTGAGAGGACCCAGTATTTTAACGTAATGAATTTCTAGCTTCAAATCTCTCCTTCTTACCCTTTCAAGCTCTTTGTGAGATTTTTGTCCTGTTTTACAGTATAATGTGCTAGTGTTATTGAGGCCAAGGTTGTGAGCCTAAACTCTGCACAAGTCTACTGGTTCTGTGTTTCATTCTGACAAACTGCATCCCTAGTATTGGCCGTCTTACAGTTGTCAACTGTTTTACATCATCTCCAGGACTGGAAAAGCAACTCCTAATTAGCCTAAACGATGATGATATTGTACCCATCTTTCACTCTCCAAGAGTTGAGTTTTTAGACATTCTCAGCTACTCTTGGTTTTGGAGTGAAAATGTCTTTTCTGATATTATCATTCATGTACTTGCAAGAGATTACTGCTATGGAGTGTAGAAGGCTGTGCAGAAGATAATCTTAGACAAAAAAAGAATTCTATTCAATTCATCTAAGCCAGTTCTGCAAATTCTGAGCCTACATTCCCACAATGAGAGGAAGTACGTTACTGCAGCTAAGAGCGCGGGCTCAGGAGTCACGATCATGGGTCAGAGTCCTGAGCTCAGATCTTGTTTTTCTGACTTCCCACTTGTGACACCTGGGCAAGCAACTTAGCCGCTGTGCAGCCCAGTTTCCTCCAAAGGACTGTTATCAGAATTAAGATAATGCAAGTGGAGCATTAGAACAATGCCTAGCATAATATTGTCATTATTACTGTTCATATTATATTATTGTGCAATTTCTATCTTTTGTTCAAAGTTTATTTTCTGCTTCTAGATAGCTTCACACTCATGTCTAAGGTGAAAACACTTTGGAAATCCAAAGTGTTTACCTTTAAACTAAAGTATTTCACCATGTAATTGCGTTAGAGGTATTTTGAAATAACTAGTGTTGTCACAGTGTGTATACATTTTTTATTATGAATTTAAGAAATGCCTCTTGCAAAATAACATGTGGGTGAGAGAAGTATTTGCAAATTTGTTCCTTAACATTCAAGAGAGAAGTCTAATACTTTGTATTATCGTGCAGTGTTACTGAGGTTACAGATTGACTTTTGCACACTGAATAGTTGAACTCAGGATCTTTCTTTTTTTAACAAAAAAAAAAAGGCACTTAAGCCCTGGCTGGTTTGGCTCAATGGATAGAGTGTCGGCCTGCGGACTGAGAGGTCCCGGGTTCGATTCCAGTCAAGGGCACATGCCCAGGTTGTGGGCTCGATCCCCAGTGGGGGGCAGCCGATGAATGATTCTCTCTCATCATTGATGTTTCTATCTATATCTATATCTTCTCCCTTCCTCTCTCTGAAGTCAATAAAAATATTTTTAAAGGCACTTAAACTTACAGATAAAATTATTCATTCCTAAGAGATTTTTATTTTCAGTGTCAGAACGAGAAGTGGTGGTTTGTGTTAAAAGTGGTATGTGTTGTGATAGAGTTGATATTCAGCTGAGTGTACCAAGACAAGCCAGACTGGTTGTGAAAACTTTAAACTACTTCCATGCCATTGGTAAAGTAAAATAATAACACAACCACAGTACCTCAAACTAATTATCGTAGGGTGACATGACAACCATTAATAAATGTAGTTCTATCTTGGCGACGTCTGAAAGTATCTGTAGCACTCTGCCGTTTGGGATATGGGCACAGCCTTGCACATCCTTTGAAACACTCCGTGCTTTAGGAGAGCCATCAGTTGATCATTATCCTTGAATTGCATATTTGCTACTACTAAATGACTCGGCTTTGACTTTGTTCTTGTTTCAGCAGTCAATGTGTGATGTTTTGATATTTATAAATTCAGTAGTTTGTAATAAAACATTAAACACAAGTTCCCACAACGCCTAGTGAAAAAAAGAATGGATCTAGAAAATAATCATGAATGACTGCTAACATCAGAAAGAGAGAGACAGATACTATGTGACTCCTGATGGACTACTTGACACCACCTATTAAGTAATTTTATTTAAAAAAAATAGAACTTGAAACTGCTCAAGCTCTATGAGCTAACCATGTATATGAACACTTAAAGCAGCTTTATTTGTAATAGCCCCAAACTGGAAACAGCCCGGGTGCCCTTCAGCAGGTGGTTGGTTAAGCAACTGGGGTACATCCATACTACGAAATACTATTCAGCAATAAAGAAAAACAAACTATTGATGCATACAACAACATGAACTAATCACCAGGGAATTATGCTGAGTGAAAAAAGCCAATTCCAAAAGGTTACATACTACATGATTTCACTTATTTAATATTCTTGAAATGAAATGACAGTATTATAGGAATGGAGAACAAATTAGTATTTGTCAGGGGCTAAGACGGGAGTAAGGGCAGGAGAGGAAGTAGGTGTACAAGTTCAGATAATTTTAAGGGAATTTTGCTCAAGAGCAGGAATGAACTGAAGCTATACATAATTCCTGAGGGAATGAAAATTGGCGGGTTTTTTAAGACAGGAAAAAAAAGTCTGCTAGGACAATGCTCTTGGCCCAAACAGTGTGCAACTAGAGGGGTTCACTTTGTGTAGGAGCACGGGAAGTTGGTAGTAACGAGAAAGAAGGCGGTATCTGTGGGGACGGATGCTTGTAGGTGGGCAGATTTGGTGGTAGGAGTCTGTGGAAAGGACTCTTAATTGTTTCCATTTTCCCCTTGAGGCAGAAAGCAAAGTTATCACTTGACCTGAGAATGAGGATCAGGGAGACTCCTAGTTGTTGGAGATTTGAGTAGAGGACAAAGTGGGAAAGGGTTATCTAGGAGAGTGGAAGTGGGACTAGACAAGGGCAATACAGTATCATTGCCTGGGGCTCATGACCCTGAATTTAAGCTGAGATGCAGTCAGTGAAGTGGTATGATTTTGTCTAGCCATGTTCAACAGCATGAGGAGAAACACCAAATGCACGCAAGGCACGTTCAAGAATATTATTGCCGCCCTAGCTGGTTTGGCTCAGTGGATGGACCGTCAGCCTATGACTGAAGGGTTCCAGGTTCGATTCCAGTCAGGGGCACATGCCCGGGTTGTGGGCTCAGTCCCCAATAGGGGGCGTGCGGGAGGCAGCCAATCGATGATTCTCTCTCATCATTGATGTTTCGATCTCTCCCTTCCTCTCTGAAATCAATAAAAATATATTTTAAAATAAAGAATATTGCCCACCTACTCAACTCCTTTATCTCTACCAATAGGAATTAAAGACCACAAAAGAGAATATTATGCTTAGAATGTAAATTCTTAAAATGAACTTAATTCTCTCCTGTCAGTGTTGACCAGTCAGTGGGCCTAATTTTGAGGTGTTGGATCACATAAGATGGTATCTGTGCTCCAGAACAAAAGAGCTGCCTCAGAAGTCCTACGTTATTGTTCTTTTTTAAAAAAATGGATACTAATCTTTAATTTGTGTTTTCTTGATTATCACATATGTGCTTGTAATACTTATTTTATAGCCCTACAGTTAGAGTTGTATCCTATAAATTAACTCCAAATAGATGTCTTTTCAGACCAAGATACAAGTTATGAAAGAAATGGAAATAATTCTCATTCACATCGGAGACCCAAGAAGACAAAAAGAGAAGTCGCAATACCAAGAAACAAAATGGCCTCAGGTAATGGGAAGTGAAATCAGTAACTGCCTTAAAGGATGCACAAGACAGTTCATGCTGAAATGTGTCATCATCACAGGTACCCAGTAAATATCCATGACACTCTCTTTTGTCTCATCTCAATATTGCAATCTTTGCTTTCATTTATAAATTCTTATTTTCTTGATATTCCTTTGCCCGTCTTTTTTTACATATACCCATGTGAAAGACAGTTTTTTTCTACAAATGTTCCATCAAAAAAGAGAGGCTTCTAGCCCAGCCTGTGTAACTCAGTGGTTGAGTGTCGACCTATGAACCAGGAAGTCACGGTTCAATTCCTGGTCCGGGAACATGCCTGGGTTTCAGGCTCGATCCCCTGTAGGGGGTGTGCAGGAGGCAGCCAATCAGTGATTCTATCTCATTATTGATGCTTCTGTCTCTCCCTCTCCCTTTCTAAAATCAATAAAAATATTTTTTTAAAAAGAGAGAGACTTCTAGAAGTCCTTGCAAAGTCAAGTTGCGGTGTTCTCTCTCATTTTTTAATTTTGAAAAACAAATACTCTTTGGGGAAGATGCATTAGCCTGAAATGACCTCAATGGAAGTAAAGATGATATATTTTGGAAAACTTAAATAATTCCCAAAGTTCTCCAGATTATAATTAAAGCAATGATGATGAAGATGCATTTGAAAAATCTGAATAAACTTATGACATGAAATATAAGTTTCATGAAGCAGTTTTTATAAATTAACATATATACATTTATATAACATGATTTTAAATATGCCTTTATAAAATGAAATAAATAGACATTTGATGTTCCACCTACATCCTTCAAGTTTTTATATAGTCAAGTTTGCCCAGAAATAACTTTTTAGCAGTCTCATTGAGAAAAGAGGAGATTGCCCTATTTGGGAGGTTGCCTTATATTTATATAGATATGGTCCTTTACAAATTTTTGTGTTACTTTGCTTTAAGCATATTCCTATTAACTTTCATATAAAGGCATCTAATTATTTTACTAACCCTGAGAATATTTTTATATCACATTTAAATTTATTTTAATAATAGAGATCCTTTCTGGTTCTAATGCTCCCTTGCAACTCTCTTCTGTCTTTTGTGGAAATTTTTTTCTTCAATATTTTGGTTTTAATTGTTTCCCTCTAAAAAGTTCTTTACAAAAACACATTCTTATACCTACATTTTTCTAATTGTCAAACCCAGGAATGAAAGTCTCTTTTGAAATCCCCTCATCTGGTTAAAGGAATATAGTTTATATTAGTTTTCTCCTCCCCACCCTCACTCCCTAGATCTTGTTAGTACATTATGTGGGTTTTATTCAGGTTATTGTTATATTAAATTGTTTTCTGTGTGTGTGTGCATTTTTGTGTGTTTTATTGTTGTTGTTGTTAATCCTAGCCCAAGGATATTTTTCCATTGATTTTTAGAGAGAATGGAAGGGAGAGGTAGAGACAGAGAGAAACATCGATGTGAGAGAGACACACATTGATTGGTTGCCTCCTGCAAACATCCCAACCAAGGAACCTGCAACCTAGGTAAATGCCCTTGACCGGAATCGAACCCGGGTCCCTTCAGTCCACAGGCCGACGCTCTATCTACTGAGCCAAACTGGCTAGGGCTAAATTGTTATTTTCATATTATATGACTTCTCTTAAGAATACATTTTTAAAACTTTTATCAAAACCAGATATCTAGTAATAATTTAGCACTTATTTCTATTTCACTGGTTTTGTGACTTTACTTTTCTTGAGTTCTTAATTTTGTCTCATTTCTACAATTGTTTTTGGGGAACTTGTGAATAGTCAAAAGGGGTCTTTCTTGGCCCTTCCCAATGTTAAAAGAAAATTCTCCCCAGACAAGTTACTGACCTAGTAGGCTTTAATTCAGTAATTATGAATTGGGCAGCAGCCAATGTAGCAGATAGAGAGCTCGGAAGAGCTGGACACGGCAAGAGATTTTTATAGACCTAAGTGAGCAGGGTTACTTTCCTTATTTGGAGCAAAGGGAAGCCTTGAAGTCAGACTATGTAATTTGTGCAGAACAGGCAAGCACTGGTTGGTTGACGTTGGCCTGCCTCTTCTGCGAGAGCCAAACACAGAAACTTAAGTTTTGGTTTGCTGTAGTGGGGCTTAGCATGACTGACTCTATCTTGGGTCTAACTTCATTACCTTAACACCAATGAGCCATATTTTAGCAGAGTTCACAAGTTAAAACATTGGATCGTAGCTGTATATCCCCCATATCTTTTCTGCCATTCTCTTTTTCAAATATATTTTTTATTGATTTCAGAGAGGAAAGGACAGGGAGAGAGAGATAGGAACATCAATGATGAGAGAGAATCATTGATCAGCTGCCTCCTGCACGCCCCACAGTGGGGATTGAGCCCGCAACCCGGGCATGTGCCCTGACCAGGAATTGATGGTACCTCCTGGTTCATAGGTTGATGCTCAACCACTGAGCCACGCTGGCCGGGCTGAGCTCATTTATTTCTCTCTTAATCTATCTCATTTTTGTGCATGTTAGCTTCAGCTGATTTATCTTTAAGACTTCCTGTTTCTATTAAGGATGTTACATAGCTTTCTAAGGATTTAGTTAAATAAATTTTTTTGCTGTTGATAATTTTCAGAGTTATGCTTGCCTCTGAGTCCCCTGGATTCAGTTCCCAGGTTCTGTGCTAGTCATAGGCTCTCTTTTGGTTTGATTTTTTCCTTACCTTTGAAGGCAGGATCTGTCCAAACACATGTTTGTCAGGAGACCAAGAAATTGGGTCACCCTTAGGTCGGCAGCCTGTTGGCTTATCTAGTGATCATAACCCCTTTCCACATCCACAGTTGACGTACAGGGTGAGTTCCCTGTTCCCAGCAAGCTGATGGCCCTGATCTGAGGTGACATTTTTCTCCGCTCTACCTCTATTGCTTTAATTTTCACCTTGTCAGAGACTCTTACACCCATCCCCCAGAGGAAGATATTAAGAGGTTAAGTCATTTGCTTGAGGCTTTTGAGTCCAGTTTCTTTTTCCCACCCTCCATCCTGTTTGCCCGGATGGAAAGACATAGCATCTGATCAGAAGAACATCTCAGAATTCTGGGAGGCCAGCAGTCGGAGCCGCAGTGATTCTGCTGCCAAATAAACATGTCAGTCCTATGAACAACCGAGGGAATGTCACAAGAAAAGGTAAAGAAGGCCAAGTAGGCTGCCTGTAGCCAGCTATATTTTAACACTCATGCCTTGAAAGAAGTCAACCAAAGTTAATAGCAAATAGGCATGTTAACCCACTAATATTGCCTTAGAGCATGGTTTCCTTACTGGAAAGTGTGGAAAGAGAATGAAAGCAATATGGTGATCTTGTAAAAAGTCTATCAGAAATATGCTCTGATTTATTAAAAAACTAGAGGCCCGGTGCACAAAAATTCATGCACTGGGGGGGGGGCGCGGTTCCTCAGCCCAACCTGCACCCTCTCGCAGTCCAGGAGCCTCGGGGGATGTCCGACTGATGGCTTAGGCCTGCTCCCCCTGGTGGTTAGTGCACATCATAGCACATCATTCAGCCTTTAGGGTCAATTTGCATATTACCCTTTTATTATATAGGATATATTTATATAAGTATATGGCTTCTCTTAAGAATACATTTTTGTAAAAGTATGAGACAGATATTTCTGCAATGAGGTTTATATACTGGCACCTTTATGGTTGGTTTTATTTAATATTTATTTTTACACGGAGGATCTTTGAAGAGTAAGCAACAGGATGAGACGGTAGTGATTTGTCATGCTTCAGCTTCGGAATTCTAGCTGTACAGCTTCATCAACAGCAGAAAATGAGCCTCTGGTCTCCTATGTGATTTACATTTTTAGCAAAGAATAACATATAAAATAGGAAAAAATATTTCTATCCTAGGCTTTTACTTGAACTTAACCTACTTTCATATATATATATGCACTGGAGGTGGGGAGGTCCCTCAGCCTGACCTGTGCCCTCTCACAGTCCAGGAGCCCTCGGGGGATGTCCGACTGACATGGAGGAGGGAGAGGCTTCCGCCACCACCACTGCACTCACCAGCCCGGCTTCTGGCTGAGTGGTGCTCCCCCTGTGGGAGCGCACTGACCACCAGGGGGCAGCTCCTGCATTGAGCGTCTGCCCCCTGGTGGTCAGTGTGCATCATAGCAACCGTTCACTCTGCTGTTTGGTTGATTTGCATATTAGCCTTTTATTATATAGGAAGGAGGATATATTTTTATTGATTTCAGAGAGGAAGGGAGAGGGACAGATAGAAACATCAATAATGAGAGAGAATCATTGACTGGCTGCCTCCTGCACATCCCCTACTGAGAATTGAGCCTACAACCTGGGCATGTGCCCTGACCAGGGATCAGGAATCAAACCGTGACCTCCTGGTTCAGAGGTTGAGCCACATGGGCCAGGCCTAACCTACTTTCTTTTTTCTACAGGAGCCACTCATCATTCAAACAAATGTCACCAACCTGCTCTTGCTAATCCTGTAAGTACTTAACCTTCACAACACACATCTTGGAATCGTGTTCTCTTTATCAGTCCTGGTGGGTCCTGCCAGAGCTCTACTTTGTCTCACAGAGTGCTCTGAATTCTAGTTTTCTGATAAGGAAAGGGAAGTACGTAAGTGCAGGAAAGAGTCAGGTTTAATGGATTATTTATTAAAGACGATTTTAAAGCCTATCTTTTGGCTTTCATGCTGGTATTATTTTCTTTTGTTGGTGGTTTCTTTATTCCCTGCTTCATTCCAAAAAGAACTTGTGGCATCTTACAAAAATATATACAATGCAATAATTTTTTTTATTTTAAAAAGGAAAAATAAAGAAACTGAGTGAAAAGTAGAAACTCTGCATAATCTACAAAATTTCACCTTCAAGAAATTTCTTAGCTTTCTTGCCTTTGTATCCTACATAGAAACCTCTCAGTAGATGGCTAAATATAGATTTACATTTATTTGGTCCACTGTAAAAAAAAAAAGTGTTATAAGTATAAAAAGGAAGGGGGATGAAATAAAAATCCCTTAAATCGGTATTTCTCAAGGGATCTTCTGCAGAAAAACAGCCAATATTGCTTAAAATATTGCCAGACGGAATTTGTTTTACTGTAAGACTTCTCAGGGCCTTTTTGTTTTGTGAGGATATTTTCTCCATTGATTTCCAGAGAGTGGAACGGAGGGGGAAGAGACAGAGAGAGAGAGAGAGAAACATCAATGTGAGAGAGACATTCATTGGTTACCACCTGCACGCCTCCCCTCCCCCCACTGGAAAGCAAGCCTGCAAAGGAAGTATGTGCCCTTGGCTCACGCTTCAGTCTGCAGGCCAACACTCTATCCACTGAACCAAACCGGCTAGGGCAGTGGTTCTCAACCTTCCTAATGCCGAGACCCTTTAATACAGTTCCTCATGTTGTGGTGACACTCAACCATAAAATTATTTTCGCTGCTACTTCATAACTGTAATTTTGCTACTGTTATGAATGGTAATGTAAATATCTGATATGCAGGATGTATTTTCATTGTTACAAATTGAACATAATTAAAGCATAGTGCTTAATTACAAAAACAATATGTAATTATATATGTGTTTTCTGATGGTCTTAGGCAACCCCTGTGAAAGGGTCATTCCACCCCCAAAGGGGTCGCGGCCCAGAGGTTGAGAACCGCTGGGCTAGGGCATAGAGTCTTTTATATGCCCCAAACCTAACCACTTCCCATTATCTTCACCACTATCACCCCAGGCTCAGCCACCATCAGCTCCCATCTGAACACTGCATCTTTCTCCTACTGAACTCCTTGCTTCTGTCCTTGGCCTCTTTCTGTTAATTCTCAGCATAGCAGTCAGAGGAGCCTTCACAACAGAAGTCAGATCCAATGACTGTTCATCAAAGCCCCCTCACCCCCCATGTCTTCCCATCTCATTCAAAGTAAATTCACACACTTCTCAATTTCCTGACATAGGACCTGTTCTCCACCCCCCTTCCCTCATTCCCCTCCACCCCCTGGATCTTTTTTTAGCTCCCCTCCTACCATTTTTGCTCATCCAGCCTTTTTGTTCTTCCCCAAACAAACAGCAGGCCGTGGCCTCGGGGCTTTTCCACGTCTTAAATACCCTTCTCCAGAATACTGACAGAGCTTTCTCTCTAATTCTCAGCCAAAATGCCCTTCCTTGGCATCTGACAGGCGTTAGTGACCACGCGATGTAATTTGTCTCTCTGTCTCCACCACTAACGTGGACACTTGGGGAGGGCAAGAACTTGGCTCACTTTGTTCATTGCTGCACCCTCAGTTCCCCATGCTTAGCACATGGTAGCTGTTTCATTATAATTCACTGAATGCTTGACAAGAAGTACACACGGGAAATTGTGCATCTCCAAGAGGGTAATATCACACGCCACTTCCTCCAAACTGCTTGAGCACAGGGTCTTTTTGAAAGAAATATTTATTAATATCTCAGGGCCCTGGGAGTTCCAAAGCAATTTTGGAGACACCGCTTTAATTTTCATTATTTGGCTAAAATCAGATTTAGCCTTTTCCTTTTATATATTTTTATCTTTTAGTCCAAGACCCTGTGCCATTCTGCCAGCCCGTTTCCTTCAGTCCTCCCGACAGTCACACAGCAGGGACTGTCAGTCACCCCTGTGCCCACCAGCCAGCCACTCCCTGTGACGGCAGAGCTCCCCAGGCCTGCGTCTGTAACACAGGCTGGAAACGCTCTGGTGGGAATAACTTCAAGCCCCAAAGAGGACTCACATCCAGGCGTCTCCACCACTCATCTCCAAGCATCGTCTCAGAGCGCATCTGATCAGGTGAGTGAGGAACATGGAAGTCACAACTGGGTACGTTCATTACATGGAAATAGCACTTTTAAAATATATATATTTTTATTGATTTCAGAGAAGAAGGGAGAGGGAGGGAGAGATAGAAACATCAATGATGAAAAAGAGAGTGATTGATCAGCTGCCTCTTGCACATCCACCACTGGGGATCGAACCCGAAACCCGGGCATGTGCCCTGACCAGGAATCAAGCCCTGACCTCCTGGCTCATAGGTCGATGCTCAGCCACTGAGCCACGCTGGCTGGGCTGGACACAGCACTTTTATTCTTTCCTTCTATTTTGGTGTCGTTTCGGGAACAGTGATGCTAGGAAGGAGCCTCATTCACCCTTTACCCCTGAGCAGAATATACCTGGGAATGCCTGACAGACAGGCATGTGTCCCGATTAAAAGCAAGTTCATGAAAATATCTCACCTTGGGTCTTACGCCTATTTCAGTATTTACGGTCTTATTAGGTAATGCTGTTCTATCAGTGCTTCGGTTGGGGAGGAACCCTTGTTGGCCTGCTCCACTGTCTTAGCAGCAGCAAACCCTTCGACACCTTCTCTACCTCACCCTCTCAACTTCCTATCACCTTTGTTCCCCTTCCAGACAAACTGGAAGGAAAGGCAAAGCTGCTTTAACAGTGTTGACTGAAGAAAACATCCTGCTTCTCCCTGTTATTTTGGGGTTTTTTAAAACACAAGCCCTGCCTATAAGCCATCTAACATTTTCCTGTTAGAAAGGAGTCCTATTTTCTCTGGATCTGCTGTCAGTGGTAATGGAAACTAGATGTTCACTGTTGTCTCAGTCAGCATTGTGTTCTGCTGAGGGGAAAAGTGATCTGCAGCAGCTTAAACAAAGAGTGTTTGCTTGCCTTAAATAGAGAGAAATTTGAAGGATCGAATATCCAAAGAGTCTACAAATTATTAGAACTATCAAGAGAATTTAGAGATGTTACTGAATATCAGATCAGTATGTACTAAAGTTAATTATATTATCGCATATCAGCAACTATCAGTTAGATTTTTTTTAAAAGATATAATAGCAGGTACCTAGGAATAAATCTAACTAAAGATGTACAAAACTTCTAGTTTTTCTGAGTCAGTTCAGGAAACCACTATGAGGCTTGATTGAGAGACATTAAAGAAAGGCTAAGTAAGTGGTGAGATCTGCCAGGTTCAGCCCAGGTTAGGCGTTCTCTCTGAAATATCAGGTAAGGCTGCCGCTGGAATGACGCTGAGTACAGCCTGACCAGCAGGCAGACATGCAGCCGGGCGGCATCTGTGTCTCCCTTACCTTCACTCCTTCTTATTGACATCCCAGTCCCACAGCGTAAAACCAAAATTGGGTGGGCCTCAGTTCTGAGATCTCTCTGTAACTGACCCAACCCTCTATAACCCTGTCAATCAGGAATAACCCTATTCAGTTGCATGGCCCGTGAGGGTGGGGTCTTAACTGACGTGAACTGCTCCAGTCCTTGAGCCTAGCAGTACACAGTAGGCATTTAATAAGGACTTATTGAATACTGATTGAGTTAAGCTGTAAGTGGGTTGTTCTCTAGAATTCGGACCGTGTAGTTGGTGTAAACAGATTGTCTCAGGGTTGGACTTCCAGTTCAAAAAAAGTAGCCTCTTACACTTTGGGACCACGCCTAGTGTCCTGGGCTTGTTTGTTTTCTCAGGTTTCCTGCCTCCCAGCTCCAGCCGTGTGGTATGTCAAGGACTTCCCTCTTGAACATGAACTCTTGGGTGGAGGGAATTACCGTGGGAAACTGAGGGGATAAACACACTTCTGAATAGAAAGGTCTTGTTGTTTTGAATTCCACATTTCCCAAGCTTGTGATCATGGCCATAGCCTTAAGCTTACTCTTGCAGATCTTATTGTCAGACTCACTTGTCCTTGGAACATTCATTGTATGACCTGTTACCATTTTCTGTATGAAGAGGTGAAAATTCTATTTGCAGAAAAGCCTCTGAAAGCAATAAGTGTGATGGAAAGCCTGTGATTCATAGAGCTTGTAATGTCACCAAAGGTCAGCTCTCATTAAAGCAATATCTCAAACTACTGAAGTGCGGTAATTATATGCAAATAATTTTGACAAAATCCTTTGTTCCCAATAGGTCACAGATGAAAGGGCATGGAACTTCAGCAAAGCGATGCATGGTTTGCAACCTCACAGCCAACTGCAGAAAGCTTGTGAGGTGCTCCAGAGACTGACAGCCATGATCCCAGGACTTTCCGAGTCAGTGCAGGTAAGCAGAGGCTGACTGGAAGGGAACAGATGTGAGGAAGGGGAAAGTGAAAAACAGGAAAGGAGAAAACGTATAATAAAATAGAAAATGTATAATCTGGAAATTGTACTCTGTACAGACTAACATTATGAAATACTTTGTGGAGACTCAATGGAAATATTAGCAAGTGTATTTATACCTTTAAATTTGAAGATTGTGCCCTCGCTGGGTAGCTCAGTTGGTTAGAGTGTCGTCCCAATACCCCAAGGTTGTGGGTTTGATCCCCGGTCAGGGCACATACAAGAAACAAGCAATGAATATATAAATAAAGGAAACAACAAGTCACCGTTTTTCTCTCTCTCCCTCTCTCTCTAAAATCAACACATTTAAAAACTATATGTTAAGGCAGCTCTCTCTATGGAGTGTGCCCAAGCCTTCCCCCCACCCCCCGACACCCCCTCCAGTTGCATTTTCCTTGACTCTCTTAAGCTTCAGGTCCCTTCTTTTGCCTCTGTAACTTGTTTCTTGAGCCCATTACTTCTATAGCCCATTCCTTCCACCTCTGTGACTTTCTAAATAAACTTTCTCTTATAAAAAAATCTGAAGATCATTAAAAAACTGGATCAGTAGTGACATTCTCATTTATCACATCACTGCTTTTCTGATCTATGTGTCAGGAGAAATCACAGGAGACAAAGACAGATCCATGCCTCGCCATAGCATAGAGCAGCCTTGAAACAGGCATCAAAAGTCCATGCCTCCGTGATATCTGCCTTTGTTGCAACCACATTTGCCAGTGTTACTTCCTCATAATTATTCGTGCCTCCTTCTACTCCCTACACATAAATTAAGGTGGTAGGATTAGTGAGGATTTTAATTTTCTTTTTTCCATTTTCTGTATTTTCAAATATTGCAATAAGTACATAAATACAATCTGTATTGGTTTATTTGGGGAAATTAGAACAAAAGCATATAAAATAAAAAGCATTCTCTAGATGTAATCACTATTATTAGATTAATCTTGATTTGCTGTGCATAACCTTCCAAACGTTTTTGATGCATACACAAAGTTTGTTGGTTTGTTTTGTTTTAATAAAAATGCGGTTAAAGTCTACAAATGTTTCTGCCCCTTGATTGTTTTACTCAATGCTGAGTTAAGGATATCTTTTCATGTCAGTACACATAAGTGAACTCCTTATTCTTAATGTTTACTTGATATTTTACCCTTGCAAATAGCCATCCATGGATACCCTTATACCTACATCTTTCAGGACTTCTGCAAATATTTCTGTGGGATAGAGTGCTAGAAATAGAATTGATGGGCTTTTACATTTTCAATAGATGACAAAATTATCCTCCCCTCCTAAAAGGAACTATTTTACATTCTCAGCAACCTTTCCCCCACACTTTCATTTTTGCCAATTTCAAAGGCAAAAAAAAAAGGCATTTTATTGATTACTAAGTCCTTCATTGGATTGCTTGTCTCTTTGTTTGTAAGAGAGCTTATTTATTATTGATATTAACCTTTTGTTATATATGTTGCAAATATTTTGTGTTCATGTCTTATTTTTAACTTTATTTACTTATTTACTTTTAAATCCTCACCCTAGGATATTTTTCCATTGACTTTTAGAGAGAGTGGAAGAGAAAGGAAAAGACAGAGAGAAATATTAATGTGAGAGAAACACATCAATAGGTTGCCTCCTGCACAAGCCCCGACTAGAGATCGAACCCATAAATTAGGTATGTGCCCTGACCAGAAATTGAACCCGTCACCATTTGGTGTATGGGACAACTCCCCAACCAACTAAGCCAGCCAGCTAGGGCTTAACTTCATTTATTTATTTTTTTTATACTTACTTTTGTTATTTTATTTTTCATACTAGAGACCCGGTGCACAAAAATTCGTGCACTCTGGGGGTGTCCCTCAGCCCGGCCTGCCCCCTCTTGCAGTCTGGGACCCTTCAGGGAATGTTCACCTTCCGGCTTAGGACCTAAGCCAGCAGTCAGACATCCCTCTCGCAGTCCAGGAGCCCTGACTCCTTACTGCCCGCCTGCTCACTGCTCCTTAGCGCTGCCTCAGAGGCGGGAGAGGCTCCTGCCACCACAGCTGCGCTCACCTGCCCGGCTTTTGGCTGAGCAGCGCCTCCCCTGTGGGAGTGCACTGACCACCAGGGGGCAGCTCCTCCATTGAGTGTCTGTCGCCTGGTGGTCAGTGCGTGTCATAGCGATCCGTCGTTCTGCCGTTTGGTCAATTTGCATATTACCCTTTTATTATATAGGATAGGATATTTTATTTTGCAGTTTTTAATAAATGTAACTTTGAAAATAAAGAACATTTCAAAACAAAAGTAGTAGTACTTTTGGTGACTGTTCAGTAAATAGTTGTCAGTTGGTTCATTTGACTTGTTTTCCATGAGGGTAGCCTGCAGAAAGGAGAGTTGGTGTTTTCTGTTTCATTTAGAACTTCTCCTTGATCTCCATGTCAAGTCTGTCTTGAATGCTTTTGAGACCCTGGATACAAAGGGACAGTCTGTGCGGTACTTCAGCCAGCACTCTTCTCTTCTGCATTCCTCTTTTAAGCTTAGTTGTGTTAATTAGATATTTGATCCTCTTTCCACTCAGAAAGGGTTATGTCATTTGCTTAGCGCAACCTGAAATACGAATCCTCCCCGTAGGTGATATGGAATAGTATATTTTCCTTCCCTGCCACAGTGTAACATTGCTTCTTATAAAAATGTATTTGAAATGTGTAAAGAACACTTCTCAGAAGAACACAAATGTAAAACAGCCATAAACAGTCAGGAATGTCTGTTTGCTTTTCCAAAATTCCCAGGTCGATGTTGTCGACTCCCTTATTTACCTGAGTGGCCAATTACTGGAAAGCCCATTTCAGAACAGCAGCACTCTGGGCTTCCAAATTCCTGTGACTGTCTGCCTCATTCACTCCCTCAGCGGTGTAGTGAAAGCTGACGAAGCAAGTGGGCCAAGATCCAAGCCTGACATTGAGCAGGTGGGTGCTGTACATGCCACTGGCCAACTCTCCTCAGAAACGTTCAGTCTGGACCGGTCCAGGTCTCGCACAGCCTCCCCCCAGACTCTCACAGCCCAGCTAAGCCCGCAGCACTGACGACACTGCTCTGTGAATCCTGCTCTGGGTCCTCTCTCTACCCCAGCGAGCCCAGCCTGCCTAATGCTGTCATCTGGTGAAAAGACCTTAGTGACGCGCTTGGCACTCAGTAAGTTATGTTTGCTGTGCACATGAGACATGTTCGACATTGTCAGTCATTAGGGAAATGCAAATCAGCTTCCACTTCACACCTAATAACAAGCGTGGGCAAGGGGGCAGAGAAAATGGAACCTTCATACACTGTTAGATTGTAAGATGGTACAGCTCTTTGCAAAGCAGTTTGACAGTTCCCCCAAAGTGTTAAAAATATAATTGCCTTGTGACCTAGTAATTCTACTCCATGGAATAGATCCACATATGTCCGTCCACCTGAAACTTGTACAATCATGTTCATAGCAATATTATTCAAGTGGCCAAATAGCAAAAAGGTGGAAACAACCCAGATGTCCATGATCTGATGAATGGACAAAGAAAAAGTGGTATGTCCATAAAATGGAATCGTATTCGGTAACAAAAAAGAATGAAGTACTGATACAAACTACAACATGGATGAACCTTGAAAGTATTATGGCAAGTGAAGAAGCCAATCACAAAAGACTATATATTATGATTCCATTTATATGAAATGTCCAGGAGAGGCAAATCTATAGACTGTAGATGAGTGGTCACCTAGGGATTGAGGAGATAGGGACAGAAGAATGGACAGTGACTGCTACTGGGTTCTGGGTTTATTTTATGAGAGAGAAAAATATTCTAAAACTAGATCATGGTTCTAGTTGCACAACCCTGTGAGTTTACAAAAAAACCTTTGAATTGTATACTCAAAATGGGTGAATTGTATGTGTGAATTCATTATAATAAAGCTCTTTTTAAATATAAAAAAAAACTATCATAAGCAGATCTAGGGTAGCTTATATCATGGGGCAAAAGAAATACATATTTCTTTGGGGGGCCCTCTTAGTGGCACAGAGGATGATGACTCTTTAGCCAGACTACAGGTACTGCCTATGGGTTCTCTCCAATGTCACCTCCCATTACATCATTGTCAAGATCCCTGTTCCCCTTCCAACCCCCTCAAAATCATCATTTCACTAACACAATACCCTGAGGTTACACAAGCCACATGATATTTCCCTCTAAATGCAGGTAGAAAATATTTTGAAAAAGTCCTTGATGGCCCTTGGGGAGATCCAGGAAACATTTCTATGGCAGCATCCATTTTCTGAGTCTTCGGTGACTTTGACCTCTTCCATTGCTACCCTGATGTTGAGCAGGTAGCATAGGAGGAAAGGAGGGAGGGAGGGAAGGTGAGAGGGAGGGATTTTAAGAAGGGAGGAACGAAGGAAGGAGAGTTTCATTTTAGGTTTTTGACCTTTAGAAAATAGATTGATTCCCATTTCACTTCTTTTTCATTAGCCAAAACATATCAACTTTGCCTCTGAGCTCTTACACTCTGGGATACCCAGCACCCATGCGGTTAGCCTTCCCATCAGCTTCGGCGCTGGAGGAGCTCTTGAATAAACACCCGGGAGTTAATGTTCAAGTGAGTGTGAAGTTGATTCTGACCAGAATAAAAGTGAGATTTGGTGGCTATAGGCATTTGGGTGACAAGAATGCACCATGAAATGTAAACTAACAGACCAAACAAGAGAAGGTTGTGTGCTGTTAATTTCTGTTTTACACTGGCAGGATTGAAGGCCTCTGAAAATGATCCACGATAGAATGGGGAGCATTAAACAAGCTTCTGGATTTAACTAAGTTTCTGTGTTATGATGTGAATTGATTCAACTCTTCACTATTTTATAAAGCTAGGAATATCTGAATAATCACTGATTCAATATACTGACCTAGTCATATCAGTATATTGTATTTCTTTTCAGCAATTACTTAACAAACAGAAATAGAATTGTTGCCTTATCCTGAAGAACAGAATACTTCCTAGTAAAATGAATCCTCTAGGTATAAAGATGTAAAAATAGTAATAATTCTGAGGGTCACAGTAAATGACTCATCTTTAATTAATTAATTCTTTCTCATATGATCCTATATAATAAAAGGCTAATATGCAAATCCACTGAAATTCAGAATGACCGGTCACTATGACACACGCTAACCACCAGGGGGCAGACGCTCAACTCAGGAGCTGCCCCCTGGTGGTCAGTGCGCTCTCACAGGGGGACCACCACTCACCCAGAAGCTGGGCTCACGGCTGGCGAGAGCCTCTCCTGCCTCTGCAACAGTGCTAAGGATGTCCTATAGCTGGCTTGGGAAGCGGGCCTAAGTCATCTGTCGGACATCCCCCAAGAGCTCCCGACATAAGAGGGCACAGGCCAGGCTAAGGGCCCCCCTCCCAGCCCCGCCCCCCCCCCCGTCCCGAGTGCATGCATTTCATGCACCGGGCCTCTAGTCTTATAATGAGAGGTATTTCATTTGAGATATTAGCAAGGGGGGAAATCCCAACATTTACTTTAATTTATGGTATCTGATTACCTTATTATGTACCGGGGTGTTATTTATAAATATTTTGGTAATTGATGAAACTGGAGTTTTCTTGTCTCTAGATAACAGGACTAGCTTTCAATCCCTTCAAGGATTTTGATGAGAAGAACATTGTTGGAAGCGTCGGAAGTGTGGTACTAAGTTCTAATCATAAATTGCTCCGAGTCCGTGACTTAATGGAGGATATTGAGGTATGACTTGATTATTAGGAAATAAGATAGAAGGAACTAGGAATTCCTGGAGAAAAGCATAGAAGGCAGCAACTCCGTGAAGGAAGTCATTGGAGATTCATGGAAGTGACATTGTTTCATTAACACCTTTACTTAGGAAATTGTACAAATTTTTCCTTATAAGTCATTTTAGATCTTAGCCTATTACCCTTCCTTAACCCCTGACACTGTGTTACCTACTAAATTTCAAAGAGGAAGACTTAGGAAGTTTCATCCCATTATCCCTATAAAGGAGACTGACAGGTGTCAATCAATGGGTCATCTTAAATTTGAAGAGTGATGAACTGTCTCTCATTTTAGATCATGCTCTGGAGAAATGCAAGCATGGAAACCCACCCCACCAGCATCAACATGAGCACGGACTATTTTACCATCACAGTGAACGTCACTTCCCTGGAGAAATCCCTGATCATGTGCATAGAGCCTGAAAGTCCCGTTTCAATGACACTCTACCTGGGGTTCGAGTATCAGCCTAACCACACTTTCTTTCACCTGAACATGACCCTGCCAAAGGCTCAGGTGGAGCAGAAAGGTAAGACTCCTCTCAGGTGTCAGCAGTTGACCACAGCACTTTGCAATGCATGTTTTTCTTTTCTTTTTAAATTAACTTTTTTTTAGATAACTGTATATTTACATGCAATTGTAAGAAATAAAAACAGATCTTATATACTTGTCACTCAGTTTCTCCTAATGCTAATATCTTGCTTAACTGCAGTGCAATGAGGAAATGACATTGATCCAATGCACTGATCTTATTCAGATACCACTGCCTTACAAGCACTCCTGTGTTTGTGTTTAGTCCTATGTACTTTTATCACATGTATAAATACATGTGACCATAAATAATGCATTTATTTTATTTTTTTTTTTAATCCTCAACCAGTGATATTTTTCCATTGATATTTAGAGAGCATGGAAGAGAGGGGGAGAGACAGAGAGAGAGAAACATCGATGTGAGAAAGACACATTGGTTGGTTGCCTCCTGCACATGCCCCAACCAGGGCCGGGGATAGAGCCTGTAACCAATCAAGATATGTGTCTTTGACCAGAATTGAACCCGCAATCCTTCATTCCATGTGCTGACGCTCTATCCACTGAGTTAAACCAGCCAGGGCATGAGATGCATTTTTTAAAAGATGGATTGTGTGATATATAGAAGGATATTTATGTGATAAAGCAAATTTAGTAAATGTTAATTATAGAATCTGGTTATGATTTTATGGATGTTCCTGTAAAATTCTCTCAACTTTCTATATGATTGAAAATTTTCATAATAAAACTAGTGGCCCGGTGCACAGATTCATGTGCATTGAAAGGAAATTAGGTCAGCCGAGAATTGCCGCTGCCAAGTCACCACAGCTCAGCAGTAAACCAGATCCGGGGCCGACAGTGCCCCAGCAACAATGTAACCCATGGCCGAAGGTGGAATCGTGTGGCTCCGCGAGGAATCAGGCTCCCTCCTCTCTGGTTCCGGGGTGCATCACCCGAGAACCACCGCTGCCAAGTCACTGCAGCTCGGCAGCTCCTGCGTTGAGCGTCTGCCCCCTGGTGGTCAGTGCGCATCATAGGTACCAGCTGGTCGGACAGTTGGATGGTCACTTAGCCTTTTATATATATAGATGTTGAGACTTCTGCAAAAGTAAAGTTCCAGCACAATGGGTCATAATATATCTCAAATGTTATATGTATAGATGAATATGTATATGTAATATATCACTTATATTTCAACTTTATTTCTAATCTTAGGTTTAGATAATGCCTGGAGATATCTCAGTAAGTCTTGGTATAAGATCAGAATGACTATGTTGTAGTTTAGAAAAGTTAATAATTTCTCTGACATATATAAGTAGTAAAGAATTTCTGAGATATATAAATAGTGCCTGGAATATACTTGACCAAAGAACTTTAAATGTAGTACTGAAAAGTCTTATTTGTAGCCATTTCTTTTTTTGTGTGGCTGTTTTCTTTCTGAGCTTTTTATTTCTTCTTTTTACACCAGTCCCTTTAGCATTTCTTGCATTGCTGGCTTGGTGGTAATAAACTCCCTTAGCCTTTTTTTGTCTGTGAAGCTTCTTATTTCCCCTTCAGTTTTGAATGATAGCCTTGCTGGATAGAGTATTCTTGGATTCAGTCCTTTGCTTTGCATCACTTTGTAAATTTCTGTCCATTCTTTTCTGGCCTGATGTGTTTCTATTGAGAAATCATTTGATAATCTGATGGGGGATCCTTTGTAGGTAACTCTCTGTTTCTCTCTTGCAGCCTTTAAGATTCTCTCTTTGTCTTGTACATTTGCCATCGTTATTATGACGTGTCTTGGCGTGGGTCTTTTGGGGTTCATCTTGCTTGGGACTCTCTGTACTTGTGTAACTTTTTTCTTCCCCATATCTGGGAAGTTTTCTGTCATTATTTCTTCAAATAGATTTTCTAATCCTTGCTGCTCTTCTTGTCCTTCTTGCAGCCCTATTATGCGTATGTTACTTCATTTCATGTTGTCCCAAAGCTCCCTTAGGCTCTCCTCCTGCTTTTTAATTTTTTTCTCCAGTTGCTGTTCAGATTGAGCTTGTTTCTCTGCCTTATCTTCTAAATCACTAATTCTGTCCTCTGCTTCTTTTAGCCTGCTGTTGAAACTTTCCATGGTGTTTTTGATTGTAGCTATATCACTTTTCATTTCTTCCTGACTCTTGCATAGGTTGTTGATTTTCTCATCCATCCGGTGAATGAATTGTATAACCATTATTCTGAATTCTTTTTCTGTCATGTTGCATGCTTCAACTTCATTAATTTCCTTTCTTGGCGACTCCTCATTGTCTTTCCTCTGGGTGTTGTGTCGTCTCTTCATTCTGATTATCTCCCGATGATTCAAACGTCGAGTTGCGTGGGCCTGGGCCGTGTGCAGTGGGAGCCTCCCGCCACTCTAGTGTCACTGAAGAGCTCTGACACTAAGATGTGTGGTTGTTGTGGGTTGGTTTGAACCAGGCTCGCTCAGAGTCAGTGTTGCCAGCGCTCAATGTGGCCTCGTTCGTGCCCTTAGAATCAGGGACCCTGCCTGCACCGTGCTGAAACAGAGACCCCCCTGGAGCGTGTTGAAAATCAGCGCCCCCTAGCATGCACCAGGAGTCAGAGTCCCCCAGGAATCCAGTATCAGAGTCTCTGTTGCTTCGCGCGACCTCGCCTTGAGAATCAGGGTCTCTGTGTGCCTTTGCACCAGGAATTGGAGTCACTGGCTCTTAGTATGAATGCACAGGGAATCAGGATCTCAGGCACAGGTGATAAGAAACACAGTCAAGTCACTGGTGCTCGGTGCTGCCTCCTGCCCAGGGAATCGGGGTCCCTGGGCCTGTGCTCCGTGGGACAAATTCCTGGTGTTTGCACAATTGCTCCCAGCCCAGGGCTCCGAAGCCGGCAGTGTGAGCAGGATCAGTTCCCTCCAGGTGTTCTCGCGTGCGTTTGCTCCCAGCCCAGGACTGCTGAACCCAGCCCTAAGCGGGATCAGTTCCAAGGTGCTCGCGCACTTCCAGGCTAAAGTTCCTGTGGCAGCACTGAGGCCCCGGCAAGGGGTGGGTCTATCAGTTACTATGGCGCTGCCCGCGAGCCTGCAGGAAGGGGGGATGGGCTCTGTTACTCATGGATCTGCCGCGGGGATTTCTGAACTTTTGGTGTCTGCAGGTCTGAAGCTGTGGTCACAGGTCTCTGTCCCCAGTGGCTGCAGGGTCCTGCTATGCGTCTGAGATCAGACTGGGTGGTGCTGAGGCCAGGATCCCAGTCTCAAGCAGCTCTGTTTCCCAAGATGGCGTGGTCGCTGTGCCCGTGCAGGCTGCCCAGGAGTGTCCGCGCAGAGAGCGGGGCTCCGCCGCCTAAGACTGCCCGGTTTAGCAGCCCCTTTGAAGACCTGCAGAATCTAACTGTCCCTAGCTCATACACACACACACCACACACGTCTACACACTCCTCTATCACTTCCTTGCGCTCTCACACTCTCTCCCTCCCTACCTTCCTGCTGGTCGCCATTTTCCGGTCTCCTTGAAAAGTCTTAATAAAGAGCTACCCTTGGCCTTAAAAGATGTTGGGGAAAATAATCAGAATGGATAAAGCATGTTGTAGTCTCCCTCGTGACAACCTACCTGTATTGAAGGAGCTTTTTCTGGCTCCTGCATGGTCCTCGCTAACAGACACAGTCACTTTGTAAGTGACCCTTCCCTCTAGACAAAGCCCCTGCGGCAGCAGCTCTTGCTGCTGGGTGCCAGCTATGAAGTCAGAACATGCACTCCCTTCTTCTCGCTGCTCTTGGCAGTAATCTCGTGTCATTTGGAGCTGGGAGACATCTTGGAGATTCTTTCGTTTAGACTCCTTGTTTGAAAGATTAGAAAAGTAGAGATTTGGTGACTTAACAACCACCTGTGACAGAGCCAGGCCTGAAATCAGGCCTCTGGCGTGCGGTCCAGGCTCCGTCCTGGAACCACTCTGCTCCTGTCCTCGCTTCGTCCTTGGGTTTCATCACCCCCTACACCTGGGTCTTCTATCTACTAATAGTGTGTGATGATTTCATTTTTCTAAAACACTTAATACAGTCTGTCCGGTATTCGCTGGCACCCTGCCCCGGAGGCGAAAAGACCCCCTCCCTCTCTTGGTCCGGTGAGAAACTGACCTCACCACACTGACGTCCAGAAACTGCCCCACCCCGGTGGAAAGTCCCTGCCGGACAAACGGCTCCAGGAAATGGCCAAAACCGCAGGACAGACCGAAGGTTTCACCTGACCCCGGAAAACCCCCACTGCCACCAGTTTCTGCCAGCATGAAAACTTGCCCCTGCTCCAGTTTGGCGCGGCTTCTCCTGCTCCCCTCTCCGAGCTGGTGAACCCGCCCGTGTGCTCCCAATAAAGCCTGTTTAATCTGGTCTCTGTTTGGACTCACGGTTTTTCCTTGCGGCGGCGTAAAACCTAATACAGTCTAATTCCTTAGGCCTAAATTTTCATTCATCAAAAGAAGATGGTTTTTTACTGCAGCAGGAGTTACCCAGGGCCCTGGATTGTACTTCTGGTCATTTTTTAAAGAAATCACTGTGACTCTAGGCTTATTACTTTGGAAAGTAAAATAACAACAGGCCCTGCAGAAGAAAGCGTTAACAGTATTTTTCTCCCACGTACAATGCAATTAAGCACTCTTCGTCGTTCTCAGATGAGGCGTATACATGGGTGCTGACTCCAGGGAGTTTGCAGCATGGGATCGGCATCTACTACATAACAGCCGTGTTGAATAAAAGCAAGGAGGAGGCTCAGCGGACTCCCACCCTGTTCTCCATCGTCACTGCCCTCACTCAGTGCTATTTTTGGGACAGCCACAACAGCACGTGGAAGAGCGACGGGTGTCAGGTGAGAAGCTGTGCCGCTTCCCCGCCTCTCTCCTACCTTCGCTGGCATTAAACACGGTGCATCTGTTACCTCAGTTCCCTTCAAAAGCATAGAAGGAGCCGGGTGGCTCAGTGGGTTGGAGCATCACCCCATACACCAAAGGGTTGCAGGTTTGATTCCTTCTCTCTCTCCTTACTATCCTCCCTTCCCTCCCTTGCTTCTTCTCTTCTTCCCTTCCTCCCTTTCCCTTTGTCCCTTCCTCTCTATATAAAAATCCATGAAAAAAATCCATTCTCAGGTGAAGATTAAAAAAAATAGAAGGGAAATAAATCAGCTGGGAAGAAGGACGGTGGTGTGTAGTGGGCTGGGCAAGAGTCTCTCTTTGGAGCAGGCCGTGCTTCATATTTGTGATTTCTTTCTCAAGCATTAGTCCACCGTGAATGTGACAGTTCCAGGTAAAATAAGAAAAGCAATATGTGGAAGCTGTTCAAGTCTGCAAGTATTAAACATGTTGTGGGTAAACGGAAATGAACTTCCTGCTAAATAAAAGAGGATTTTTGTACTTAAAAAGAAGCTCGCCCATTCTTGTACCCTCCAGGCCAGAGACAGATTGTCACCTTTGTAATATTGCCGACTCCCTGGTGTCTGCCCACTGCAAGTGACACTACATTCTCACACCAGTGGTCCTGTGAGGTCCTGACTGATGCAGATCCTGGTCCACTTGCACAGAGTGTGCTGCAAGGTTCTGGAAACCGTGAGGCTGCTATGAGCCACCTGAGAAGGTGTCGCCCGGATTGGGACTAGAAGGAAAAGGGTTCCCTGGACGGCACCCGCATCGCTCGTGGCCTCAAGCAGCGGTTTCTGGAGGATCGGGTGCTGCTTCCCAAGCACATCCTCAAACCGGAAGCTTGTCTGTGAAGATTCTGTTGCCGTAAACCTGGGCGGGCCTGCGATCCTGCGATCCTGCCTCTCTAACGGCTCCCGGGGAGGCAGTGCTGCTGGTCAGGGAAGCCACACTCCAGCAACAGGCTCTCTCCCCTGGCAGAGCAGTGACCCCTGACGCAACAGGCATCAGGATGTGTCTCGCCTCCTGGAAGCCTCCCTAGTGTTTGGCTCTGTGAAGGGAACAGAGCTGCAGAGAACGGATGAGAGTTCCCCCAAGGGCAGAATATAGGTGGGGCGACCAGAACTTAACCTTGTGCCATGCAGAGAAATCAGTCATAATGACACTATTGTAGACTTTTCATCTGCAAGATCACACATGGAATGGGTACCTTCCATTTACTTGCCTAGTAATTTTTTTCTTAATCCTCACCCGAAGATATATTTTTATTGATTTGAGAGAGAAAGGAGGAGAGAGAGAGAGAGAGAAACATTGATGTGAGAGAGAAGCATCGATCGATTGCCTACCAACAAGATCGAACCTGCAACCTAGATATGTGCCCTGACTGGGAACCAATCCACCACCTTTTGGTCTACGGGGACAACGCTCCAAGCAACTGAGCCACTTGGCCAGGGTCCTGGTGACATTTAAAAAAAATTTATGAGGAAATGTTACAACATATGGAAAGTTATAAGGAATAATATAATAAAAGCATGACACACCACTCAGCTTTATTACAGAATTAGCACTTTACTTAGATGTGTAGAAAGAAGACACTCAGGCATAATCTAAGTGCTCTGTATATCCTTCACCAATTCCGTTCCCTTCCTCCCCACAAAGGGTGACCACCAGCCTGAATTTGGTGTGTTCATGCTCCCACCGAGTGTTTATTGAGCGCCTGCTATTGAGCACCCCAGCCAGGCCAAGGCCCGGAGCCAGGGGTGCAGTGATGGACGGAACAGTGTCCTCATGAGCGTACGTCCCAGTGAGGACACCGGCAGGCGCAGAGACATAAGTGTTGTTTTGGTCTTTGTGCAAATGGCACCAAACTGTACATACCCTTCTGTAACTTGGGTTTCCACTCAGCATTTATCCATGTTTGTATTCCTTTCCACTGTCGTATAGTATTCCACCGGTTGCCTCTACTCGTGTCTTTACCTGTTTGTATGTTCTGCCGTTAGTAGACAGACAGGCGCTCCGGGTGTTTTATGTTCTAAGCAGTGCTGGCAGGGCATTCTTTTCCATGTCCCCTTGTGCACGTGTGTGAAGTGCCCTGGGCTACACAGTCAGCCCTGGAATTGCCGGACTCAGAGGGTTTGTGCTTGTTCAGCTTCACCAGATGTTGCCAGCGTGCTGTGCACGTTGGTGATACCCGTTTACACCGCCAGCAGCAGTGAATGAGCGACCCAGACATTCTGTTCCCGCTCTAAACTGCCTGTGTTGATGGTTCATGGCTGGCCCTTCGTTAGCGTCAGTGTCTCGATTCTATTCCAGGTCGGGCCACAGAGCACAGTGGTGAGGACCCAGTGCCTCTGTAACCACCTGACCTACTTTGGCAGCGACTTCTTCATAGTGCCCCGGACAGTGAATGTTGAAGACACGATCAAGCTATTCCTGCGCGTGACCAACAACCCTGTTGGGGTGTCCTTGCTGGCCAGCCTTTTGGGGTTCTACCTGCTCCTGTTTGTGTGGGCTTGGAGAAAGGATCAGGCAGATATGCAGAAGGTGAGGAGACCTTGATTCCAAAAGTTTTGCCACAGCGGCTTGAGTATGTTGAACAAGGTGGGGAAAAAACACCTTCATCCAAAGAGGCTGGTCCTGTGGTTCCAGGAGAAATTCAGGTGCGAGTGTTCTTAAATTTCTCTTTATATCTACTCTCTCGAGGCCTAGGAACTTAACTCTTTATATCCTTTTTTTTCTTTTAGCCAAGGTTGAATTCTCATGTGATTCATGTAGGGATAGGCCAAAAGAAAACATGTAGAGAATTTAACTATAACCAAATGCATGTTTATCTCACTTTACACATTGCACATGAAAGTTATATGTAAGCCAAATTATAATTTATTATAATTGCAATATATAAAAAAACCTGTAAGAAACTTTTTTTGAAACAAACAGAAAATGCTTTGATGGCTGCTTGTTCTTAATTTCTGTTCTATTTCTTTCTTGCTCTTGTGTTTTCTTACACTTGGAAATTGTAGAATGCACAACATGTTCATTTCTTTGTTGCCATGGGTATAGGATTGCCAGTTTTAGTAAATAAAAATACAGAACACCCAGTTAAATTTGAATTTCACATAAATAGTGAATGCATTTTTGGTGTAAGTATGCCCACAGATTATTCAGTGTTTGTCTGAAATTCAAGTTTAACTGGATGTTTTATATGTTATCTACCTGGGTGGGAGGGAAGTGGGAAGATTGAGAGGCCCAAGACGTGGTTGATTCTATGACTATTTCCTTTTAGAGGCATAAACCCTGGCCTTTCCGCCCTCCCCGCTTATCACTTAACCTAGGTCTGCTTACACCTCCCTTCGCTTTCCAGACCATGGCCAGCTCTGCAGCCGTGCATCCTCCAGCTCCCTAGCGGGGGAAGCAGCTCCTCCACGAGCCTGAGTAAGGGTCAGCCCATTTTCTTGGTTCTGCTTTTCCTGCAGGTGAAGGTCACTGTCCTGGCCGATAATGACCCCAGCTCTCGGTGTCGCTACCTTATTCAGATCTCCACTGGATATCGAAGAAGGGCCTCTACAACAGCTCAGGTTAATGACACACATGCCCCTCATTCACGGCTCCGGCTCCTACCACGTGAGATACAATACACTCTGCTATCCCGGCGTCCTGTAGCACTTACGGGGGGTCCCAGAGGGCTACTTCCTAGTTCTACACTGTGAATCTGAAGAGCCCTCTGTCCTTGTCTCAGATCCCAGAGACCTCATCTCAGTCCAGTGTCTCTGCCTTCATCTTTCTCCTTGGGGATAAACCCAAAGAACCAAATAACCATGTGAGGACTTCCTGTGTCATGTCTCAGGTGGTGGTCACCCTGTATGGGTCAGAGGGACGGAGTGAGCCCCATCACCTCTGGGACGGCCAGAAGGCAGTCTTTGAACGAGGGGGACTGGATGTCTTCCTGCTCGGCACCCGGTCCTCCCTGGGGGAGCTGCACAGCCTCCGACTCTGGCATGACAACTCAGGTGCCAGCCCTGCCTGGTAAGCACCTGCCTCACGCTGGCTTGTTGTGGGCTCAGCTTGTCATCGCAGTAAATAACAACAGTCTGAGCCAAGAAGTCACAGTTAGATGTACATTTCAAAGCTGTCTATGAAGAAGAAACCCCCGAAATCAATGTGGAAATTAACATTATGATTTTTTGTGGATTTAAGAATGATAGATGTTTTATTTTTCTTTTATTTTCATTAAATGTTGTCATGGTGTGTACAAGTAACCACAAGGAAATATTGCCCCAAAGTACCACAAATTAAAGGTATCTCTAATATGAAATATATATTCAAAGAGTAAATTCAGTAAACAGCTATATCCTGAATACTGTGCATTGGGTCAGAACTCAGAGCTCAGGAGAGAGGAAAGGTGGAATTAAGAAGTGGTGTGTGCCTAGGGTTCAGTGATGAGGCTGTGCTGGGCCCAGATGGTTCTGCATCTCCCTTCAGCAGCACCTTGGGAATGAGGAGAGGGGAGGGGAGGAAGTAGATGATGAAATGAATTAAGGGTGAAGATTATTGGTTTGTTGGGATTAGGAAAAAATAAGGGATGAAGTCAAAGATCCAAGGCTCGTGTACTCAAGCCTCATTCCTGAATAGGGGCCACTCTGAAAAGAGTGTGCAGCTGCCCAAAGTCAGTCTTGCCCTCTAGGCTAGATACACCAGCCACTAGGCCGCAAGAGCCTAATAATTTGCTTACTGTTTCCATTCTGATCGGGCATCTACAGATCAGTTTGTACACTATCATCTCAGTTTCATTTACAAAGGTGAATAATAAACACTTGACAAGATGCTCAACTCCGTTAGTCATCAGGAAATGCAAATTAAAACCACAGTGAGATAGCACTAACTAAACACCCAGCAGCATGACTAAAATTAAAAAGTCCAACAAAACCAAGTTTGGGAGAGGGTGGGGCACACTCACAACAGCACTGGTGGGCGTGTAAAATGGTGCAGCCACGTTGGAGAACAGGCTGTCAGTTTCTTGTACAGTTAACCATACACTTCCCATACGACCCAGACATTGCGCTCCTAGATAAATGAAAAAAATATGTCCTTCAAGACTTATACACGTATATTCATAGCTGTTTTATTGTTAGTAGCCCAAAACTGGAAACAACACAAATGCCCATTAGGTGAATAAATAAATAAATGTTAGTATATTCATTAGATGGAATACTACTCACCGACGAAAAGAACAGTCTGCTAATACCTACAACATGGATGAATTCCCATGCTAACTGAAAGAAGCCAGACTGTGCGAATACATACTGTGTGAATCACATATATGAAATTCTTTTAAAAAGGAAAACTGCAGAGACAGAAAGATCAGAAGTCACCTGGGGCCAGAGGTGAGCCTCTGTTCTGTAAGATAGAGGCAGACGGGAGGCCTGTAGAGGTGGCCGGGCACCTCACATATGGAACCGGGAAGCTTAGAGGACACACACACACTGGACTGTTTGTAGGTTACAGGATCCGCATTCTGTGTTCAGTACATGAACTCCCTGAGGAAATGGGATCAGCTCTTGTTTCTTCCTTTAGTTCTTGCCTTACAATGAGACAGAACCCACTGACAGGGCAAGATTACTTCTTTTTCTAAATTATCTGGTTTATTTTTTATTTAAGTATAATTGACATACAACATATTAGTTTTAGGTATACAAGATAATGATTCAATATTTGTATATCTTGCAAAATGATCACCATAATAAATCTAGTAACATCTATCACCATACATAGTTACAGAATTCTTTTTCTTGTGCTGAGAAACTTTAAAATCTACTCTCTTAGAACTTTTTAACATGCAGTACAGTATTATTAACTATAGTTGCCATGTTGTACACTATGTCCCCATGACTTACTTGTTTTATAACTAGAAGTTTGTACCTTTTGATCCTGTCACCCATTCCCCCCAAATCTCCTACCTTTGGCACCCACCAGTCTGTTCCCCGTATCTATGAGCTTTTTTTTGTTTTTTTTTGTTTTTGCTTTTAGATTCCACATATACAGGAAATCATATGGTATTTGTCTTTCTCTGTCTGACTTATTCCACTTAGCATAGTGCCCTCAAGGTCCATCCATATTGTTGCAAATGGCAGTTGCATTCTATTTTATGTGTGTGCATGTGTGTGTTCGTGTGTGTGTGTGTGTGTGTGTGTGTGTGTACACCATATTTTTAAACCCATTTATCAATGGACATTTAGGTTGTTTCTATAGATTGCTTCTTACTACAACAACTGAATTGTGCCCCCCTCCCTAACATGGCTATCTTCATTTTACTATAGGTATGTAAACCAGGTCATTGTCAGCGACATGGCAGGTAACAGGAAATGGCATTTCCTATGCAACTGTTGGCTGGCCGAGGACCTTGGAGATTGTGAGCGTGACCGGGTCTTCATACCAGTCTCAAAGAAACAGCTCTTTTCCTTTAGGTATTGTTGGGAAATGATGGTGTCTTACAGGTCTCTGAAGCTCTGTTCATTTTTCATCATTCTTTACTCTTTCTGTTCTTCAGACTGTATAATTTAAATTGACCTATCTTACGTTTGCTGATTCTTTCCTCTGCCCACTCAATTATGTTGTGAGCCTCTCTACTGAATTTTTCATTTCACTTAGTGTATTTTTCAACTGCGGACTTGCTACTCAGTTCTTTTTACAAAATAATTTGTCTTTATTGACATTTTTATTTGGCAAAATATCATTCTCATTTACTTTCCTTTAGTTCTTTAGACATAGTTTCCTTTAGTTCTTTGAACACACTTAAAATGACTTGAAGTCTTTGTCTAGTAAATCCAATGTTGTGGCTTCCTCGAGGGCAATCTGAGGAGGAGGGTGTATCTAGCTTTACAACCTGGAAATGTAAGTAAATTTGCCCCAAAGAGAATCACTGTCTCTATTTTTCCAGGGCTGTCTGCTTATACCAAGATTCCTTATAAGATAGTCCAGGAGCAAATATTTTATGAATGCCTATATGTGACGTATTCATGGAGAATTGCCTCCAACACTGCCTTTGTTGTTGTGTCAGTCTTTTGTCAGTCTGGCTGTTATTCTTTTCAAGTAGACTCCCATTTCTCTCTTTCATATTTTACCTTTATTCTTGATGTTCCAAATTTTATCATAATTCTTTTTACTATGGATTCATTTTTTTAATCCTGTTTGGTACTCAGAAGGTACTTTTAAAAATGTTTTTATTATGGTAAAGTACAAAATCACATCTTCAATTCTGAAATATTCTCAGATGTCAATTCTGAAATATTCTCAGATGTCACTTCTGAAAATATTGTTCATCTGGCATTCTCTTACTCTCTGTTGGAGCATGTGTGTGTGTGTGTGTGTGTGTGTGTGTGTGTGAGAGAGAGAGAGAGAGAGAGAGAGAGAGAGAGAGAGAGTGTGTGTGTGTGTGTGTGTGTACTAGAGGCCCAGTGCACGAAGTCCATGCATGGGTAGGTTCCCTAGGCCTGGCCGATGATCAGGGCCGATTGGGACCTCTGGCTGCCAGCCGGCGCCTCCCTTTATTCCGCACTGACGTGGTGGTCAGCGCACGTCATAGTGAGCAATCGAACTCCCGGTCTCCTGGTCAAACTCCCAAGTGGACACTGCATATTAGCTTTTTATATAGAGAGATGTTTTATTTTGGAGAGGAAGGGAGAGGGAGAGAGAGAGATAGAAACATCAATGATGAGAGAAAATCATTGATTGGCTGCCTCCTGCACGCCCCCTAATGGGGATTGAGCCCACAACCCAGGCATGTGTCCTGACAGGTAATTGAATCCTGATCTCCTGGTTCATGGGTCAACACTTAAATACTGAACCACACCGGCTGGGCGTTAGATTTTTTTATGTGGTGAGGAATTTTGAGTTGTATATTCATTTCTAGTGTTTTATTATTAAATCTCAATCTCTATTTCCACTCTTACTCTGCCTCGTAGCTTTTCTGATGTTTCAATCCAATCCTCACGTCTCTAGAACTAGGCCTTATTACAGCATTTTGGAACTCCTATTTCTCAGTGAAATCAGTGCAGCGAGGGCTATTGTAGATCTCGTCATGAAGCGCTGGGCCCCTTGGCTCATTGCTGGTCCTGGGGCTGCCCTCTTTCGCCCACGCTCTGCTGTCCACGTGTAGCTCTGTGGCATGTTGTTCTGTAGTTTCCTTTCATAAGCTCCAGCTCAGCCCTGGCTTCAGGCAGTGGAGATGGCTCAGCTCTCCCTTTCCCAGTCTATGAAACACGTAGTCCCGTTTCCCTGCAAGTGCCAGCCTCCCCCTGTGTCCTGCCTTCTCCCAGACCTGGAGCCCGTCAGCCCGTAGCTTCTTCCCCTGGTTTCTCACTCCGTTCCTCCCTCAGAGATGTGTATTTTGTTTGGAAGCCCAGCTAATATTTTGGTTCTTTCTTTTTACATCTTCTTTACAGTTCCTCCACCTTTGGAGTAGAGAATGTGCTCAGAATATGACTTTAGCAAACTATCTTGAGTGCAAACCTAATGCAAACTTTTTAAAAGTAAAAATATTTATCAAAACGCTTTGAAGAAATAAGCAAATATATTTTGAAGACTAAAAAATAAATTTTTAGGTGAAACAAAAAAAAGCAAAAGCAAAAACTCTTAAAAAGCTAAAGCAACAGTTTTTAATTTTAAAATCTCAAACCACAGAAATTAACTTTACCTTCAAAACCTTTTTATCCTAAAATAACAAAAGAATCATGCTATCAGTCATGTGACAGCGCCTTCACAGAGGTGTGAGTCGTGGCGGAGTTGTTGCTATGCAGCTTGTTGCCGGGCAAGCCGCCCCTTCGTCCAGGGCACTTTCAGGATGCAACCTCATGGCTCTCCTGTTGTCATTTGTGTTCTCAGACACCTGTTCTCCTCCATGATCGTGGAGAAGCTCACCCAGGATTCCCTGTGGCTCTCGGTGGCCACTCGCCATCCCTGGGACCAGTTTACGAGAGCCCAGCGGCTCACGAGCTGCATGACCCTCCTGCTCTGCAACATGGTCACCAGCCTCATGTTCTGGAGGATGAACGGCCCCCCCGCCCACAGAGACGAGCAAGGTCTGGCTGGGTCCTGTGGGTGTTGCTCCCGGCGTGTAACCCTGTCCTCTGCTTCACTCTCCTACAGCCTCCTGGCGAGCCTTCCTTTCTTCCCTCTGCTGCCTGACGTTAGGGCACACTAGCACGGCTCACTGTTCCGAGCCACTAGCAAGTGAAGCAGCCTTAGGAACCCATCAGGATCCTCACTGCCATATCTTCTCCTTAGACCAGTGGTTCTCAACCTTGGCTGCACATTAGAATCACCTGGGAATCTTTTTTAAAATCCTGATTTCTGGGCCTCATCCTCCAGAAATTCTGTTTCTTTGTTACTAATGTTGTGGCCTCACCCCATATCAAAAAAACAGAATTTCCAGAGGATGGGGCCCAGAAATCAGGATTTTAAAAAGATTCCCAGGTGATTCTAGTGTGCAGCCAAGGTTGAGAACCACTGCCTTAGATCATCGCAGTGAAACTGCTAAGCAAAGACTCACACCTGGGAGAGGGGTGACTGTCGGGGGTTTCGGCTGCTGAGGAGTGAGGTTAACGTAAAGCTTTTCTTCCAGTGGGTCCATGTGCCGTGACCTGGTCCGAACTGCTTGTCAGCATCCAAACTGCCGTCATCCTCTTCCCAGTCAACCTCGTCATAGGGCGGCTCTTCCCACTGAGTCAGCCCCAGGAGCCTCTGCCCCCCTCGGCTCCCCCGCAGGCCTCCTGCCTCTCAGATGCGTCTTCTGAGCCTCTCTCAGCCTCAGAGGCCGTGGAGGTAAGTCTGTGTGGGATTCCACAGGTAAACGCCTGCTTCCTCTCCCCATGTGCTAGCAAAGACCAGGGAAGAGGCTCTCGGGTCTCATTAACCCTGTCAGCTTTCCCCTAGGTCCTGCCCCCTGGGTTGTGATCCACCGGCCACTAATTTTCCTCCTGGCTCTGAGGCTCCATGGGAGTGCAGAATGTGCCGCTCTGGGCTTGTTTTAGCTTCTGATGGTTGGTCAGACTGTCCCGTCTTTCATGCTATAGTCTCTCATGAAACTAGTTTTTGTTTATTTTTTTAAAAAGTTTTTAAAAAATATCTTTTCATTGATTTTAGAGAGAGGAAGGGAGAGAGAGTGATAGAAACATCAATGATGAAAGAGAATCATTGGTCAGCTGCCTCCTGCACACCCCAAACTGTGATCAAGCCTGCAACCTGGGCATGTGCCCTGACTGGGAATCAAACCATGACCTCCTGGTTCACAGGTCAACGCTCAACCACTGAGCCACACCAGCTGGGCATGAAACTAGTTTTGAACCTCCTGGGACGTGCCTTCTTTTTTAAAAAGCAGAGACAAAATGAGAACTTGAGGTTCTTCGCACTAAGGATATGCTCCTCTGAGTAGAGACGGCGGCGCTGCCACCTGTCGTCACTACCATCCCTGGGTTGATGTCACACAGCCTGACTCTTCTCATCTTGGTTCTGCATTCAGGAGCTGAAGGAAACGGTGGGGTTTCTGCTCAGGAGAGACCCGGGCCTCCTCTCAGAACATGAACCATCCTCGTGGGGTTCCTACCGCGTGAGCCAGCTGGTGGCGCTGTTATCCAGCCTCATTCGTTCTCACCTGGAGGCAGCACCCTGCGGGGCGAGTGGGAAGGCCGCAGGTTTAGTACCAACCTCTCCTCTCCTCCCGCTCCCTTCACTGCTTACCTGTCAGCATCACAGCAGGCACCGTACAGCCTTCTGCTTGTTTGAATTTCCTTAGGCTTTTCATAGAGAGCTGATGCTTTGATCCCTCAGTGATACAAAGTAAAGGACTAAGGAAAAACCTACAGAAGTGTTTCCTGTGTGAGACCCCGTATGCCATCTGCTTTGTAGAGACTGTTGAAACTTGTCATTCTTTTTCTGCTGTGGGGTGGTGAGATTAGGCAATCTATGGGTTCTCAAATGTAGGTTGGGCCTCCTGGGCACTTACCTAGTATAGTCACATGTGCTGCAGTTCTGGTGGAAAAGCTCAATCAGGTTATTTTTATTTTTATTGATTTCAGAAAGGAAGGGGGAGAGAGAGATAGAAAATCAATGATGAGAGAGAATCATTGATGGGCTGCCTCCTGCATGCCCCCCACTGGAGATCAAACCCACAACCCGGGCATGTGCCCTGACCGGGAATCAAACCGTGACCTCCTGGTTCCTAGGTCAACACTCAACCACTGAGCCATGCCGACCAGGCTCAGTCAGGTTTTGAAGTCTCTAGATCAAAGTGTGGAATTATACAAGTTGTTAGAAAGTTACCGCTGTGCTCAGAGAAGACTATACAGTAGTGTGGGTGTTGGGTGCAATCTCTACTCCCTGGGAAGTTTAACCTCATCATCAGTTAATGACTTGCTCATCTCTGACAGTTGGTGCTAGTTACTGAAACCCTCCACTTACTAACAATGTCAACCTGGCATCTATTTTCAGTGGCTGCTGAAAACCACCGTCATCTCCGCTGCTACCTGCTCAGGGTTCTGCAGAGGCTGCGGTCGCACTTGAGCACCTTGGGTCCCACCCAGTTCGACCAGCCTGGCGACCTCCTGGGTGCAGCCAGCCACCTGCAGAAGCTCCAGGAGCTCCTGGAGACACACATCCTTCCCGCAGAGCCAGGGCCCGCCGGGTAATCGCCGCACCTGGCTCTCGTTACCCCGTGACCCCGCCTCCCCAGCTGTTGGCTATGAGGTTGTTACTTCGCCTTCTCTTCTTAAGGGAGGCAACCAGTTTCCCCATCCTGAGCCCAGAAGGAGGGCGGAGGTCCACCGCGGATGGTCTCTCCAGGTGGTTGGCTCCCATCTGCTGGCTCCTGCTGGGCGCCACTAGCCTGGCCGCGGCCTTTTTCACAGCACTGTACAGCCTGGAACTGAGCAGGGACCAGGCCACCAGCTGGCTCATCTCTATGATCTTATCGGTGCTTCAGAACGTCTTCATCATCCAGCCAGTGAAGGTACGTGGTGACGGGCCGCCCGCATGGAGGAGCCGCTGCAGTTGCGGGGCGCTTGGGAAACTGAGGTCCGTGGGTGCCGCCCAGGCTGCCCAGTGGTCAGACAACTGGGCAAAAAAAAGACAGCCCCCAAACAGAGATGGGAGAGTGAAATTATAAGGAATGTGTGTGGAGTAGTCCCAGAAAAGCTAACAAGAACTGATAGACTAGTAGAAATATAGCAGAGAAAGCCTGGGAGTTACAGGGGGGAAGTAAAAAAGTCAATTGAGAACAAACTATTCAGGGGGAAAAGTACTTTTTAAAAATGTTTAATTAAAGAAAATGTCAAAACCACACAAAAGTGTGTAGAGAATAGTGTAGTGATTTCTAAAGTTGTTTCAACTAGCTTCAACCGTTACTAATTTATGGCCAATCTTGTTTCCTCTATTTTGAGGGGAAAATAGCGCCAGACTTCACATTTTATCTGTAAATATTTGCCTGAATATTTCTAAAAGATAAGGACTCTTTTTAAAAAATATAAACCCTTATCACACCTAAATAAATTAGCAATAATTTCTTAATATCCACACAACAGTATAAATGTACTAACACTACTAAACTATACACTTTAAGAAGGTTAAGGTGGCAGGTTGCTTATGTGTATTTTACCACAATTTTTTAAAAATGCAGTGTTCAGATTTTACCAGTTGTCTCATAAATTTTTCTGTTTAATTTAAATCAAGATCCATGTGTAGTTAGTTGCTGTGTCTACTTACTTTTAATACTTACCTACAGCCCCCCCCTCCCCGTGTTCTTGCTGTTTCTCTCACTGCATTTGTTGAAGAAAGCAGGTATGTGTCCTGTCCAGTTTCCAGGATCTGGGGCAGGGGTCCTCAAACTACGGCCCGCGGGCCACATGCAAATACAAATATTATATTTGTTCCCGTTTTGTTTTTTTACTTCAAAATAAGATATGTGCAGTGTGCATAGGAATTTGTTCATAGTTTTTTTTTAAACTATAGTCCGGCCCTCCAACGGTCTGAGGGACAGGGAACTGGCCCCCTGTTTAAAAAGTTCAAGGACCCCTGATCTGGGGTCTCAGTGGCAGGATTGCCTCCACTCTCAGGTGGCCCGGGATCCCCCAGCAGACCTGGGAGCTTTAAAACTCTTCATGCCCAGGCCTCACTCCAGGCCAATTACATCGTGATTTCTAGAGCTGGGCTTCCCGGCCCCACGCGTTTACAGTTCCCAGGTGACTGCAATGCACGGCCGCTCTGAGACCCACTGATCATTGAAGAGGGGCCGAGTACACGGAGTAGGTGGATGACCTGATTTTCAGGTGACACCTGCTTGAATACAAGCAGTCCTGACTTTGCACTGTTTTGATGCTCATTAATTTCAGTTACCAGGGTTTAGTTAAATAACAGTTCCCAGCACTGCAGTTCAACCTCATGGTATGTCAGCTGAGTGAGTGCATCAAGTACGAGCTGCTGCTGGCTCTTCCTTGGAGATGGGACCCATGGTTGGTCCTTCCTCCCAGTCTAGTCCACTAGGGGACGACTTTAAGTCTGCAGAGCAGACACACCCAGAATTGCTACCTCAAATCCATTCAACTCCAAAAGTAGAAGCAGAAAGGACCTCAGAGCCTAGACCTCAGGCCAGGCCCTGGCCCACCTTGTCCACCCTGGGGAGCCCAGGCAGAGCAGAATGGACTCGCCTGCAGGCAGGCCAGCCCGGGAGGGGGAGGCATCACCTGCACAGATTCTTCCCAGTAATTAAGGTGGGGCAGGGGCGCAGGATTTTGACCTTGTCCTTTATTCTCCTGAGGACTGAGCACTTCCCCCCGCCCCCCCCCCCCATGGGAATTTAAGGGGGGGGGGATACCTTAGGTCGTACTTAAGATTCATGAATTCTTTTACAAAAATGGGATTTAATCCTTGGGAATTGGAAAAACGTGGGGTTCTCCGGGTAGCTCTTCCCAGGTTCTTCCAACACAGGGACTGAACGACCGA